ATTGTTAGTAAATAAATTAAATATTGAATCCTTATTGTAAAGTTTTACCATTTTATTCAAGTTTATTTCTCATGTGGAATTGTGGAATCATGCAGACTTCAGGCCCTATCATGCACCTGGCACAAGAAGTGTATTGCAGGATTTGTTGCTATTTTCCTCATTAGCATAGTCTTGTTTTTGCCACTATGCTGACACACAGGCATTTGTAGCTCTGCCCTCACACACACACTTTCTCATTTACATTTAAAGCGACTGTCACCAAAACCCCACAATTAGGATAAAACCTAAAAGGGTCAGTTTTAAAGAGTTAAAAAAACAATATCTGTGTGTGTATTTTAAGCTGAAAATTCACATACACTCTCTAGAGAAAACATACTTATTTTGCATTATGTAAAAAGGGGCAGAATACTGTAGGTCCCCTTTAAAGAAACACCTAGTGGGTGTTTTGTTATATATCACATGATTTACTGGCTCACCTGATGATGTCCTGTGTGAAGCGGGTGACGTTTCGCAGTGTGTGTGTCCAGGTGAAGTGCAGGTGTGTGTGTGAGAGACAGATTCGGTATGGTGGCCTTCTCTCTCTCTCTCTCCCCTCTCAGGGACCCGCGCAGAGCTTTCCCAATAGATCTTTATTTACAGCACAGGAGTCGGAAACGGCTGGTCAATCCATTTAGCCTAAGGCCACTGATTTGTTCGTATTTACTGCAACACCCAAAGAAAAGCCGAGGTATTTTTCCCTCTCTCCTTCCTATTGATTGGGCTCTTAGAAAATCTGCTCTGCTGTCTAAACACTATTGATCCCCCGCTCTCCTCGCCAGCTCTTGCACCAGTGTATAAAGGGACTGGATGAATTGAAATTTCATTTCCGACAACTTGTTCCCTTTTATTTTTTACTTTTTTTTCCGAACGAGAAGCAAGACTTGTAGCGACGCTTGGCGTGGGTCAATAGTCGTATGAAGGCTGGAGGTAGAGGTTAGTACAGGTGGACTGCTACTTTTATCTGAGAGTCTTTACTGGATGTGGTGCACCACCGTGAGAGCCAAAACTAGCTATTTTTAAAAGCTCTTTGTGCTTTAAATAACTGACAATCCAGATGGATGGGGTAACCATTACTGCATCCAAAATGGTGAAAAGCCTTGGAGTAACGATTGATGACCAACTAAACTTCTCTGACCACATTTCTAGAACTGCTCGATCGTGCAGATTCGCACTCTATAACATCAGAAAGATCCGACTCTTCTTATCTGAACATGCAGCTCAACTCCTTGTTCAAGCTCTTGTTCTCTCCAAACTGGATTACTGCAACTCTCTACTAGCTGGCCTTCCAGCTAACTCTATCAAGCCTCTTCAACTGCTCCAGAACGCAGCAGCACGCGTGGTCTTCAATGAACCTAAACGAGCACATGTCACTCCACTGCTAGTCCGTTTGCACTGGCTGCCAGTTGCTGCTCGCATCAAAATCAAAGCTCTGATGTTTGCCTACAAAGTGACTTCTGGCCTTGCTCCTTCTTATCTGCTCTCACTTCTGCAGATCTATGTGCCCTCCAGAAACTTGCGTTCTGTGAATGAACGTCGCCTCGTGGTTCCATCCCAAAGAGGGAAGAAATCACTTTCGCGAACGCTCACGCTCAATCTGCCCAGTTGGTGGAATGAACTCCCTAACTGCATCAGAACAGCAGAGTCACTCGCTACTTTCAAGAAACGACTAAAAACTCAACTATTTAGTCTCCACTACACTTCCTAATCTGCAATTGCCTCTCTGAAAATCACACTAACTGTACAAAAAAAATAATAATAATTACTAATACTACTAATACTTTTCTTCTTAGACTTTACAGACCTGAAACTTGCCTATAGCACTTATTCATTGTTGCTCTTAGTTGTGAAAATTGCTTCCTTGTCCTCATTTGTAAGTCGCTTTGGATAAAAGCGTCTGCTAAATGACTAAATGTAAATGTAAATGTGATATAGTTAAATTGGTTAAATTGGCTAATCAGGAGGAGCGGGAGAATTCTCAGTGGGCTTGTCCATTTTTTAGCCGTGAGGGTTGGTGTCTCTAGCTGCTTGCCCTCTCAGCAGTCGCACTTTTTTTCATTTATTTATTTATTTGACCATAGCCTCACTCTTTATTCAATATTTTGCCGCAGCTCCGCTCTTCTTGTTTATTTTCTCGCTGCCCCGTGAACAAAATGCAGCCTGCAGGTTAATGATGGCGTAACTATCATTCAACCTTAAACAGCGGCACCTTAGTGAAAATAAGAATTCAAATAATTAATATTAATGAGTGTTACACCTGCTCAATAAAAAACAGATGACATAACTTCTTTGTTGTAACAGTGCCATTGTGGTCCATTGGTCAGCATGTTGCGTTACGATGCCCCCGACCCGTGTTCGAACCTCAAGTAATTATTATTATTATTATTTTTTTCATTTTTATTGTTAAGACATAAAATAATGTTAGTGTTGTTGAATATTTAAAGTTCTAACTCAGCTGTTTTCTTGTAAAAGACGTGATAGTGTCATTAGAAACTGAATTGAAAATTACCTTATTTTATAGTCAGTCATGAACTGAGGTGGGCCTGTCTAAGACTTGAAACTCCAGGGCTGAAAAGGAACCCCACTCCGGCCCTGGGTGGCCATATATACATTTTTTAATCTAGATTATTCTCACTGTAATTTTAGAATTAATCTAGATTAAAATGGCTCATTTGAATTCTGCCGAAGGCATTCAGAATATGTGTGCTACCCTAATAATGACTAAAAGTAAATCTTTAGCCCCTTTCACACATACAGACCTTTCCGGAAAATTGTTGGTAATGTTCTGTATGTGTGAACAGGCCTTTTTTGAAAATAAAATTCGTTCTGGCTATTTTCCGGAAAGAGAAGTTGTAACATTAATGGTAGTTTGCCGGAATGCTGCGCTGTGTGAACGCAGAAGAATGATTGCCGGAAAGAGCGTGTTGCATGTCTAGAACGTGCTGACGTGAGACGTCTACTTTAGCCAATCAGAACACTCAGACATATTCACATTCGCTCGGTTTATGAAAGTATAAACGCCTTTGAATTTTTTTACAGATGCATTTAGCTGCTAGATGTTAGCCAGATAATGTTTCTATGTTTCTTTTTAATGCCAACTGTGTAAATTATTATCAATAAGAGGCTTATGATAAGTCGTTGTTTGTTTACCTTCAAGCTCTGCTTCCTTCAGTTGTGTGATGTGTCGTGTGTGCCTGTAAAGGAGCTGGTGAGCGCCAGCTCACACACATAGCATGTACATCTCTACATGCGAATGTGTTCCTCTGTACTTTCATGGAAGTTGTTCACAATACTGATCCATCCACAGAGTTGGTAATGTAGTCAAATGTTTACAAGTACAAGCGCAGCCGTTTAGAGCTCATTTCTGGTTAATGATGCCAGAATTTACCGCTATTTTGGAATGGATGTGTGTCTTTTCTGGAAAAAAATTCCGTAACGTCCTCGTCTGTGTGAACAGCTCTTTTTTGAATTTACCGGTAAAGTCGTTACGGAAATTTTCCTGTACATTTACCCGTATCACTGTGTGAAAGGGGCTTTTGAGAATGGGTTTCTCAAGCCAGGTGGCGCATTAGACCAGAGGCTTATCCCCTGTTTCCAAGCTGCACCACAAACTGCTTGAGAAACTGCTCTACTATGATAATTGGTGATGAAAATAAATGATGTTCAATAAGATGTACTTGTGTTTACTAACTGTTTATTCAGTTAAACATAAATGTTAAACTGTAGGCCTACATAAGCTTCAAACAGTGATTTTTGATCACCAAAATCCGACTAAAGTCATAACTGAACTAAACACAAATGAAAATAAGACATGTGGAGTATGCAGATATTTGTGGCAATGTTGAAGTAAACACCGCAATCAAACTATTACCGTCAGGTGGGAGTTTTCTCCATCATTTCTGACAAGATACAAACACGCGGCTGTCAGTAAAGGACCACACACAAACGCACACACACATCATAAAATGTGAAAGTTTTTTCTTTCCATACGACGTAGTTTATTAAATTCAATAACACTTTCACCAGTCCTTACTCCTATTTTGCATCTAATGCAAGATGATTAGATCTAATTGTCACAGGGGCATGAATGAAACGTTCATGAGTGACGGTGAAGTTGTCGAATTGCAGTTAAAGTCTCCCAAAATCACAGAAAACTCTTACATGAAAGCACTTCACTAAAACACCTTCATTATATTCTTGTCTATTAAGGCTAATAACTAGATTACAGATGTCCATGTAAGCTTAGTCAGAAGTGTTTTCGAATTAAGTGAAAAATCCAAAAGGACATCCTGCTGATTTGATTCAGAAGGGCAGTTTTTTGTCAGACGGCTCACCGGTCAGGTATACATTCGCACTAAAATATCAAGGTGAAAATCATCATAGCTTGTGTAGAATAGACCCAGCTCTCAACTCAACTTTGAGATTAGATTAGTGGCCATATTTTTTTTATATCGCCCTATAAAAGTCTTGCATTAACGCCGATAACGGCCAACCACTAGTTAAAATGATATTCCTTTTTAAATATATTTGCCTAGTGCGGGACACATTTTAAAACATAATACACTAAAAAAAATAGCTCTTAAAATGTACTTAAAAATATTCAGAACAATTTGCACAAGTAAATTAATGCATTTTCTTTTCAGCTTAGTCCCTTTATTAATCTGGGGTCGCCACAGCGGAATGAACCACCAACTTATCCAGCATATGTTTTATGCAGCGGATGCCCTTCCAGCTGCAACCCATCACTGGGAAACATCTATACACGCTCATTTACACTCATACACTACCCAATTCACCTATACCCCATGTCTTTGGACTTGTGGGGGAAACTCGACACGGGGAGAACGTGCAAACTCCACACAAAAATGCCAACTGGCCCAGCCTGGACTCAAACCAGCTAATTTTTGCTGTACAGTATGTGTGATCCATAATGTGTGTGTGTGTGTGTGTGTGTTCAACTACAGGATGTGCGAGGTCTCTGGAGAGCACAAGAAGAGCTGACGGTGCGAGAGAAAGAGTGGCAGAAAGAGAGATCTTTTCTTCTGGAGCAGCTTAACAGCCTTAGAAAGGAGCTCCACAGCGCCACCATCAGGGTACTGCTGCTGAATCTTTTGCAATACATGTTCAATAAAGTGTGTTTGTGTTGTCCTTGAAATGGGGGTTTTTCAGTACTGGGTTGCAGCTGGAATGGCATCCACTGCGTAAAACATATGCTGAAATAGTTGGCAGTTCAAATGCATTACCTCTTGCTCACATAGCAGCATTAACTAGTCGTCTGTAATTTAATGCCAAGGTGATAAAACACAAAATATTAATATACATGTTAAAAAGTTGCTAGATTTACAATGTTAATAAACGTTAATAAATGTGTCATCATAGTCGGTGAAAAGTGTCCATTCTGCTAAAAAGGGGGAAGGCCCTGTTTTAATTATCATAAATATTGATATAACGACCATGAGCCCATCCCACATTCCATTTCCAGCTCTTAATGCTGATGCATATTTTAATAGATTACCATTACCACTGTCGTAACTTTTATTACGGTAAACGTAATTACGACAGAATTATTATTTTCATCCCCTGCAGCCATTTTGACCATTTTTTTTCCCCCATCCGGTTGTAAACTGGCTCTGCGACCGCCCTTCCAAAAATGAAAAGTCTACAATAGCATTCCTATTACTTTCAGATTTTCACAAATCATAGCTCTTTGCCCATCATAAACTAGTCATTCATTCATTTTTTTTAATTTATTTTCTTTTATTTATTTTTTATTTCCCTTTATTATATATATATTATTATATACTTTATATATGTGTATATATATATATATATTATAGTAGCACTATTGTAACTCTTATTAGGGTAAACATAATTACGTCAGAACTATTATTTTCATCTCCAGCAGCCATTTTTTTTCACTCCGGTGGCTTCATATTCGGCAGCCCTTCTCCCAAAACATAAACCCGTTGATAAAGATAAACACGCAAACATCGTCCGCGCCTGTACGACACTCCATCTGAATTGCATATCCGCCCCGCCGCTGAGATTGTCATAAGCCGTATTAAGAAAAATGGTCACGCGGTTTGACACAAATTGGAAAATGACATTTGGAAAGCGCCCGCCGTGGTTGGAAATTAGAGATATTAAAATTATAAATCAATGTCTGGGTAGAAGGGGGGACGGGGGTTAAAGGTCCCCTCATGACTGGGGCTTATCTAAACCCACCGGGCTTTGATTGTTCATCCGCTGTCCACTCGTAAAAGGGCGAAACAGAGGATATTGTGTCTTTTTTTTTTTTTTCTATGAAGGCAAGTCAGCTTATTTAGCGGCTCCTACACCACAACCTGCTAATGGATCATCTCAAAGGTGTGATATGCATTATGCAAAGGCATCCGCTTGACACTTTTAACGAAGTCTTTCCTCCCTGTGCGTCTCACCTTCAGTTGTCTTTGTTCGTGTGTGTGTGTGTGTGTTTGTGTGTGTGTGTGTGTGTGTGTGTGTGTGTGTGTGTGTGTGTGTAGGAAGAAGAGCACCGACTTAAAGTGCTGCAGATTGATGAACTCCAAAGAGAGGTTGACAAGACGCTGGCAGTGCTGGAAAAGGAGAGGGAGGTCAGCAAAGCCCTTCTTAATAGCCTCCTGTACACAGTCAAGCGCTTTTTATCTGTGTCATGCTAAAATGTAATGTCAGACTACATTTTTCTGACAAATCATATGATGGAGGGTGCTATTGTGATTCGTAAATGACAATAGGAATCAAGGCATATCTGCTTAGCAGACACACAACAACATAAGATGTTAATATTAGGTTAGACTAAGGTCACAAGCATCTAAGGACAATGTTATTTTGACGTCCAATAACGACGTGATTTTAGTTGATTTTAGGTTGTGTTGGAAAGTGACTAAAATCCAACGTCGAGCCAACATCTTATATGATGTCATATGGACAACAAATCCTGATATTTATTCGGCAGGTATGACAACCAAAATCCAGCATCTGATAGCTGTAATATTGGTAACGTCCAAACAACGTCAAGCTGTAACATCTACAGCAAACATTTTATTGGTTTAGGTTGCTTTGTAAAGTAACCAAAATGTAATGTATGCCTGATGTTGGACATTTGCAAACAAAATAAGATACATATACAGTTGAAACCTGAAGTTTACATACACTGTATAAAAAGGCACATAACCTATTAAAAAAGTCAGACGTTAATGTGACTAAACTTTTTTGGTAAGTTAGGATTATCACATTTGTTTCTGTTATGCTTAATAGCAGAATAATGAGAGATATATTTATTGAGAAATCGTTATAACTTTTATTGAACGTCAAGTTTACATACATTAAGATTATTATGGCTCTGAAAAAGCTCAGATGATGGTGTCAAGGTTTTGTAAGTTTCTGTTGGCTAATTGACAACATTTGAGTTAATTTGAGTCACAACTGTAGAATAGTATTTAAGGAAAACTTTAAACACACTGCTGACTGCTGGCAAAATCATCAAGTCAGAATCAACAAAAAAAAGCCAGATTACAATTTGCTAAATTACACGGGGAAAAAGACAAATTTTTGGAGACATGTCCTGTGCTCTGAAGGAACTAGTATTGAGCTGTTTGGCCATTATGACCAGTGTAACATTTGAAGGACAAAGGGGAAAGCTTGCAAGCCTAGGAACACCATCCCAACTGTGAAGTATGGGGGCGGAAGCATCCTATTGTGGGGTTTTGCTGCAGGAGTGACTGGTCCACTTCACAACATAGATGGCATCATGAAGAAAGAACATTATGTAGAAATACTGAAGCAACATCTCAAGACATCAGCCAGGAAAATAAAACTTGGCCACAAATGGGTCTTCCAAACAGACCATGGCCCTAAGCATACTGCCAAATTAGTTAAAATATGCTTTAAGGACATCAGAGTGAATGTTTTGGATTGGCCATCACAAAGCCCTGATCTCAATCCTATAGAAAATTTATGGGCAGAGATGAAAAAGCTTGTGCAAGAAAGACAGCCAACAAATCTGACTCAGTTACACCCATTCTGTCAGGAGGAATGGGCCAAAACTCCTTCAAACTATTGTGAGAAGCTTGTGGAAGGATACCCAAAACATTTGACCAAAGTTACACAGTTTAAAAGCAAAGCTAAAAAAATTACCAAGGAAATGTGTGTAAACTTTTGACTGTCTAGAAATTAAATAAAAATTCTTCAAAAAACAATCTCTCAATGTTCTGGCATTTAGCAAATGTAAATCATTTAGGTAGTCCTAACAGGCCTAAAATAGTAAATGTTTAGTATGATTTACCATCAGACATTTTTTTTTTTTAAATTGTTATGTCCCTTGTTTTTAGAGTGTATGTAAACTTCTGGTGTCAATTGTATACTCCTGGTAATCAGTTCATTATGAGCTTGTGTGTGAGTAATCAGAGGGAATTAGGAACTGGTGTTGATGACTGTAGGTCATCCAGGTACATCTCACCCATTTTGTTTTTGTTTTTTGCAATTATTGTGAATTCAGACGTATTACATGGTCACAAACTTTTTTTACATATTACACTTTTCAAAATGTCTGTAGAATCTAAAGTAACTTAGTTCCAGTAGTTCACCAGTAGCTTACTGTTCATCAATTACAGCAAAAATACTGTGTTTACATTATAAACAGCACCGTTTTTCTTGCTGTATATGTATTAACAGAATTGTATGTATATCTTTACTGTAAAATAAACTGCAATCTTTACAATGCAACTTTAAAATACACTAATATACTGCATAACTGTCCTACAGTAAAATACAGTTCGCATTACTATTAAATACTGTGTCACTTACAGTAACCAGCCTGCGATCTGGCATTCTTCTTGTTCATTACACAAAAGATAAGGAGTCAACTCACATATTCTGACAAAGTGACTAACAACCACTATGTAACCTAAACCATGTGAATGTCGATTCGGTCGCTCTGCCCTCAAACCCTTGATAATGCTCAGCCTCAGAAAATAGCGCAGTTCTTCACATTTGACACACTTTTTTATTTCTCTTCTCCAGTTTGAAGCATCTGCTGCTTTCTGTTATGGACCTTTCATTCTGAGTACCACAGCATTGGTTTTGTCAATACAACGGTTGAGTGGAAGCTCAGGGATCATCCTGCATTGTCTGATTTCTCAGTTTGACCTTCAGACCAAAGATTGGCTGTTTATATGGTACAGTTTTCTGACAGTGTCATGTCAAGCACCCGTTGAGAGCTTTCACTCTCCATTTGCTTTCAGTAATGTCTAAAATCCAATCAATCTCTAGTCTGAAGCTGTCCTTCTCTTCGACAAATGCTGTTGGAAAAAAAGATCAAATGCAGGACTGATGTAAATATTTTATTTGGTAATGAGTCTTTGCTCAGTGTTTTGTGATGCTTTATCTTGTCTAAGGTTTGGTTATGTTAGAATTTAGTTAAAACGGTTGTTAAAGGGATCGTTCACCCAAAAATTGTAAATGAATTCTGTCACGAATATATGTTGGAGCAATATCACACGAGTAGCAGTGCAATGTGGTTGTAAATCGGCACTTGTGGGAGATGTGCATTGGCATGAGGCTGCAGCCCACCAGTGATGATATGCAGCCACATCGCACTGCTATTCGTGTGATGTTGCGTTTATACAACAGTTTGCCGGCATAATTGTGTCTATAAAAATGAAAATCAAATTTTAAAAACTCATTTGTATGAAGAACCACTTTCTTCCACCGTTCATTCACATCTGCAGCTGACGTCAGAACAGCAGAAACTATTGCTCATTCACAAACATCACTTTAGAGCTAGTATTTGAATGATTCTCTAGCTTAATGTCTAAAATGATAACAAATCAGGTCGTTTTAGCTCACATTTTAAAATTATAAGGCTGAACATCTTGAAATGCCATCAGTCAACATAGATTCCCCAGTACTTCTTTGCTGCAATCGATACAATAATTAACCCCAAAAAAGCCAGAGCAAAGCAAATACTACCAGTTTACTATGGTATGAATACAGCACTATAAAATACAAAAGAGAGAGATCGACTCAGAATATCACTTACCTAATTTATAATGATTTGTTCAGCTGTAAATTTACACTAAGAAAATCCTGTTATTATAAATAGTGTTTATTATGCGGTCATCTTGTGGCGGAACGTTAACAGCCACTTTCTTTGGTCTGCTCAGTCTACTGGCAGTCAATGCACTAAATCCGATGCTTCGAAATTGTAAATATTTTAAAAAATAGGCTCTATCCTTATAAATAAACTGCAAAAAAAGCCTCAAAAGTACATTATGTTGTCCAACAGCAGCAAAATTGTCCTCTGCTTGTCACTGTATGTGAGCGAAGTAATACACAAAGGGTGAAGAGGCTGTACTAATGCTGTTATTTGTAGAATATTGCACGGCTATCCTCCAATCAGATTCAAGAACCAGACAGAACTGTTGTATAAATATGTGTAACATATTTAAAGTGGTCCCTCGTTAATTATGAGTGTTACGTTCTAAAAATATGCTCTAATAGGTGAAATCCGTGAAGTAATTCGCTTTATTTTTTACAATTAATATAGATGTTTAAGGCTGGAAAACCCCTCACTACACACTTTATACACGTTTCTCAGAAAATCATTAACCTTTTCACACTTTTCTCTTGTTTAAACACTTGCATAACTTCGACCTTCCTTTAGCATGTCCAGAAGTCCAACTTTTTGTTTGATTGTTTGCATCTTCCTCTGCATTTTGGTTGCTACTGCAGGTGCCTATGACGATGCAGAACACTTTGCAATCCAGGCTCATTCTGAAAACGTAGTCCCGTGGATGTTTCAGGAGACCGCGGAATACGTCCCGGGATGTACATATTTTTGCAGTTTTTGTTTTTGCGAATCCGCAAGAGGATGCTGTGTGCGCTTTTTCCACATTTCGAACTTCTCTGGCGAGTGCCGTTCGCGCCTGCGCTGTTCTCACATGAACCCACCAGAGGCCGCTGTTGACTCAACGTCTGTCTGACTAACTGACCAGCCGAATGGATGACCGGCTGGCCTGCCAATCGACCTGCCTTACCTACCTTAACCCAATCGACGATTTACAAAAGCCGTCCAGAAAAATAAAAGCCCTCATCTGATTTTTACCACTATTTCAGATTTTACCACATTCTCACCCTGTTATTTCCTTGCTTTTGGATTCTGTTCTTGTCTTATCTGATTTATGGAACTGCTCTTCCCTGAACTCGAACCCGGTTGTCGTCGTGGTCAACTCTGCGTCTCAAGTCCACCAACGTACACGAGGAGCTAACTGGACAAATTGGTTGCAGCGGGAAAGCCCTCCACACTGAGGTAAGCGGTCAGCTGGTAAGCGCGAAAAGGAACAGCGTCATACCGCCCCGTAGTGTTCGCTTAAAGAATTAATTGCAGCTATGCGTACCTTCGGCTACATAATTCACGGTCTCCAGAAATGCCCGTGGGACTACGTTTTCAGAATGAGCCTGTGTTGACATTTTGTCAACATTGTGGGATTTGTTGGGGAGAAAACTAGCAAACATACAGTACAGCGCTTCAGAGTCACACTGCTAGCAATAGAAGATGTATGTAATTTTGGTAAGCTGAACACATTTTGTACTGTACAGAAGACACAGCACGGAGGAGATGGATTGACAATGGTCTAGAGCCAATCACGACGCAGAACACAATGCACTGTTAAAACAAAAAAGCATCTGCACTAAAAAATCTGTGAAACTGCGAAGCTGTGAAAGGTGAAATGCGCTATGGCATTGGACGACTATTTAAAATGATACTTCATTATGCATAAGGTACATTGTTGTGCCTGTATATATTGACAGATAACACATTATACAATAATTTCAAAATCTTTATTTCTGCAATTAATGCATTGAGTTTTCAATGTAAGTCTGATTGCGCTGAACTAATACATTTACACCCCAAACCGGGTCTTTAAAAGACATTAAACACAGATTTTTATTTATTGTTGTATATTTCAAGCCTCATGTTTGGTTTTGTGTCTTTATGCACACATGATTAAAAGGCAGCATTGGTCAATGTAAAAGCAGTCTCAATATGTATGAAACAGTGAGGCACATTCTTAACAATATTGTACATTGAGTCACACAGCCTGTCTACAACGATCAATAGTAAACGAAATCTTTTTGTCCTCTCCTAGGAGCATTCATTTATAATGGCACTCTAGTATGTAGTGTTGTTTTTGTTCGGATGTTTGGATGCTACAGTTCCAGTATGTAGTGTTTTGTTATAGTTTCTTGTATAGTCTATTATGATGGCCTTCCATTATGTCACGCTTCATTGAGTACCTCATAGTTTTCAGGTCGCATCCTTTGTTAATTTCGTAAAATGTTCTCATGACACTGGAAATGCTCTTCAAAAGTTTCATAAAGCACGAGCAGAAAATGGTTTCAGCCAGTGTTGCCAGATTGGAAATGTCTTGTACTAGAACCTCAAAATTATTGTATTTGAAGGAAAATTATCATACACAAGTCAAACTGAGAGTATACAGCTATTATCTAGACCAGGAGTCACCAACATGGTGCCCGCCAGGTTCACATGAGTTGCCCACGGGCCTGTTCTAAAAATAGCTCACCATATATAAAATAGCGCACCACATATGAGTAAGCTGCATCTAATATTTTTAAAGGTATTCTTTTAAAATCACACTTGCATTGGTGTAAATTTGAAAAATTACTTTGAGTTATATTTAAGTTAAGTTATATATGTTATATATTAAAAAAAACAAACTTTAAAAGCAATTTCAGACAAGTGAAGTCTTGATATTTATCTAACTTGTTAAATCATTGTTGACAACTACTGTGAGAAATTATTAACATGATCAATGTCTTCACATAGATGAATATTATTAATTATTAATAATAACATATTATTAAACGTAACTAAGAGATATGTGTTTTTTAATAACTGGTGGCCCTTCACACTAATCGGTACCCAAGAAGTAGCTCTCAGTTTCCAAAAGGTTAGTGACCCCAGATCTAGACAAATAATATGCAAATTACCATAATACGTAAAAAACAACAACAACAACTAAACATACCTTAGTGGTAAGGTTTAAACTCCACCTCTGAATTGCTGTCATTGGATACCTGCATGTTGCCAGATGTTGAGGGATTCATTTGGTGGTACAAATTGGGTGCCATTATGGGCCACCACAAAGTGCTGGTTGGCTTGAAAGCAGTGCACCATCCGAGGTGTGCACAAGCCCGTAGAGATGTCAAAATTATTTTTTTCTTCGGCGCACCGCGATGCAGACGTGGACAATTTAGTATTAATCATAACCGGTGTAGTGGCTATTTTCTCTAAGGAGGCTCTCTCAGTGGTCAAGAAACAAAGTCTTACCCGGGATGTCTTTTACAAGTTTTATTCTTTATAAAGAAGATCACAGTCATACAGCAACAACAGTTTCTGCAGAGTGAGATACTAAAGCCAAGTGTTTTCACCCTTTTATCTGGTTTGTACTGCTTACGAGGTCAACTCCTAATAAGGCCTCATCTACAATTACAATTATTGTGTACTGATGTCATTTATCTCATTTGCGTTATGTCGCCATAGCTTATAGGATGGGAGGAGACCGCGGGTATTTACAAAGCTCCAACTACTTAAAAACGCAGAAACTGCACAATTTCACAGCGTGTGTGTTTGCTGGACAGTCTTTCACTGACACTTACAGCAGAAGCCCCTGTTTCACTGCGATTGATAGAATGAAAGCACTCCATTTTTCTCTCTCTCTCTCTCTCTCTCTCTCTCTCTCACTCACTGTGGGCCCATTTGACCTGCTGGCGTGACTTTTCCTCTACTCTCGGCTGTTTTACAGCAATACTTCTTGGTACAGACATGAGTGCTGACTGTAGAGTTTTCTTCACCGTGTCTATCATGGATCAGTTGTGATCGCCGCTGCCGCCTGCCGCTTACCGCTTATGAGTGTCATTCATCTGTGAAGAGTGCAGCACGCAAGACCCAATCGCAGCCGTTTTTGTTGAGGGTGTGACCAATCAAATGGGTGTGATGCTGCGTTCACACCAGATGCGGAACTCGCGGAATAAATCGCGCTACTTGCAAGTAAATAACCACGTGAACATTTGAGTTTACTCGCTTCATTAGCGTGTCAAACCCCGCTTCACTCGCGTCAAATCCGATTAATTCGCTCTTCAAATTCACTTCAGAACAGACGCGAACTCGCGTGATGGGCAGGACTTCTGTCTGCTCGGTGACTCTTGCTTGATAGCTAAATGGCTAACATGGATTTATTAATAAAATAACTGTTTATGTACTTTATGAAGACTGAAAAACAGCATCGATACGTTTAGGGCCGTGTCTGATTCCACTAGATTCTTTCAGAGATGCATCCAGCTCTATGAGCTCATAAACTCCTCCAGAAACTTAACCTGGATGACGGAGGCTTTCAGCGGTGCTTCTGACTGAGCCGAGCCCAGTTTGATAAACTGTTGTCGGTGTTGGCTGGAGGATTTCCCTCAGGACTCCAACAACAGGCAATACGTCACAATCACGCAATCAGAGCAAGCTCCTGATTGGTTAACGCGGCACGAATGTCCGCTGAAGTTCAGATTTTCGAACTCGACCGATTCGCACAAAACGGTCAAAACACTCAATTCATGCCGCGCCATTCACATGTATCGTTCCATTTGCGCCGCGACATTCGCGCGTATCGCGCTGCAGGATGTCTATCCGCGCATTTGCATTGACTTAATATGTAAATCACTTGCGCTTGACGCACGTTCCGCGTCTGGTGTGAACGCAGCATAAGAGAACTTGGTAGCAAGGATCAAAAAGCGAGCTGGATATTTATATTTGTTTAAATAAATTGCTATAAATGCTTGTGTTGGTTAAAGGTACAGTTTATATATCTGACTGTTTGTATTAAATGACAAAATTGCATTACAAATAGTATATAAATATAAAATATTCATACATTTTAATACAAGAATTCTGCTGTGAAGAAAACAAAAAATTGTAAATGGAAAGTACCGTCAATGCATCGTGATGCAACGAGATATCGAATTGAACCGAAGCGATGACATGATAATCGTAACCGAACCGTGAGACCAGTGTAGGTTCACAGCTCTACAAGCCCATTCAGAGTATCTGTAATGAGCCGATTTCGTGGCTTTGTTTTGATTAGGCATGGTGACATGGAGGTGATATCAGCTCATTGTGTTAGCTGACCAATCAGAGTCACTTCAGGGCGGGCCTTTCAGAGGAACTAGGAAATTTGACAGTCGTTTTCATGTTAGCAGAGTAGCTGTATACAATCAAAGTAAGATATCTGAAAAAATAACGTAACTTTCTACAAGTGAAGCATGAGCACACATTGCTTTGCATCTTATAAACACAACCAAGCTTTAAAAAAAACACTGAGGATCACTCCTTTATATATATGACCAGGGTTTGAGCATCACTTGGGGTCAGTCGGTATTCATGACTGCCTGGCATATTTTTGGCGAAAGGTAAAGGAGTGTAAAAAAACAGGTAGTTCTCTATGTATGAAAAGCCCTGCTCGTATGTATTCATCCCTCTGTTCTCTCTCTCTTCTGCTCCAGGACTGTGTAAAGGCCGAGGAGCTGCAGCGACTGAAAGAAGAGCAACTCAAGGACAAGGTCTCTCAACAATCCAGCAGTCTTCCTCACCACCGCTAAGTGCCAGTCATAACCTTGTCACGGTTTGACTTAGATCTAGCAGGAGCACATGTTACACACTTAACATCAAGAACCCACTAAACACACACCTACATGATGGCCAACCATGGCTCTGATCAAAACAACATCTAATATTATGACTGGCTCTAAAATATAATCTGATATTAATGTGCTGCAGAGGCCAGATCTGAACATCAGGAGGTACAGCTGACGCCAGTCACTGCTCAACAGGACACACTGAAGAGCTGAATACACACACTTATTTTTATATAGAGTTGAAGGCGAAAGGACTAGCCTTCCTGAGAAATTATCATTCTTTTCCAGATGTTTTTTTCAAAAGGATAGGTCATGATGACAGTACATATTATCTTACTGGTTATTTTGCAAGAATTAGGGTAAATAGGCATTGGATAACAGAGGTTTGTTCTGGAGACAATTAAAAAAAAATTAGGGGGAAATGATATTGATGCTAACTAGGGATGCTTATTCAGTTAGTTTTGCCAATCGACAACCGACGCCAATTAACCAAATATATTAACGGTTAACTGGTCAGATTAATGTGCTGCTTTTATTTAATTGAAAAATGAAATAGACGAGACTGACGTAACACACTTTTCCCGCTCACAGTTGAGTTTTTTCAACTGCAAGCACACAGCGTGCAACAGCAAAAACACAAGGCACGCAGGGCACTGCAAAATGCTCGCAGCCGTTAGTAAACCATTCAAAAGATGCCCCTCTCAACGCAAAAAGTGTGTTTGCTGTAATCGGGCCGTTTTGCTGCCAAATTTTAGAAACATATATTTTTTTAATAATTTAACTGAGACCATTATTTGGTTAAAAACCCACCCTTTCAGTTAACGGTTATTCGATTATTATGAGCATCCCTAATGCTAACAGTTAAAAAATGCTTGCGGCCAAAATAAAAGAAGTAAATTATATAATAATGATAATAATTATAGTAAAATAATAATAATAATAATAATAACAACAACACTAATAATAATATAAATATAATAAAATAGTAATAATAATAATAATAATAATAATAATAATGATAATAATAATGATAATAATATAAATATAATACACATAGTAATAATAATAAAAATAATAATAATAATAACAATAATAATAATAATAATAATAATAATAATAGCAATAATAATAATATAGTAATAATAATAATAACATATATTCATTCATAAGTTTTTCTTAAGTTTTGTCCCTTTATTCATCAGGCCACAGTGGAATGTACCGGTAACTTATTCAGCATATGTTTTACACAGCGAATGCCCCTCCGGCTTTGTACTGGGAAACACCCATACACACTTATTCACACACAAACACACACACACACACACACACACACACACACACACACACACACACACACACACACACACACAAACACGAATAAACTAAATTGTCCATAGTGTATGTTTATGAATGAGTGTGTATGGATGTTTCCCAGTACTGGGTAGCAGCTGGAAGGGCATCCGTTGTGTAAAACATATGTTGGATAAGTGGCCGGTTCATTCCGCTGTGGTGACCCCTGATGAATAAAGGGACTAAGACAAAGGAAAATGAATGAATGATGTACCCTTACTTGTTAAATTTGGTATCAACCACAATATTTTGACAGCATCGATGTAACACTATCTGTGAAATCACTTTCATGTTGTGTTCAGTTTTTTTCAGCTGATAAGGGAATAAAAACAGTGCAATATTCTTTTTTTGCATTTTCTTTGGACTGTGGCGGAAATCGGAGCACCCGGAGTAAACCTACACCAGGATAATGCAGGATAATACGCCATGTCATAAAGCGCGAATCATCTCAGACTGGTTTCTTGAACATGACATTGAGTTCACTGTACTCAAATGATCTCCACAGTCACCAGATCTCAATCCAATAGAGTACGTTTCGTATGTTGTGGAGCGGGAGATTGACTTCATGGATGTGCAGATGACGAATCTGCAACAACTGTGTGATGCTGTCATGTCAATATGAACCAAAATCTCTGAGAAATATTTCCAGTGCCTTGTTGAATCTATGCCATGAAGGATTAGGGCAGTTCTGAAGACAAAAATGTGTCCAACCTGGTACTATTAAGTGTACTTAATTAAGAGGCCAGTGAGTATATGTATATATATATATATATATATATGTGTGTGTGTGTGTGTGTGTGTGTGAGAGGGTAAACTGAGGGTGAACAGAGGCACTGTTGTTTTTACAGCACAGGCCTCCACACGCACCGGGACCTCAGTAAAGCAGCCGCTTCAAAGTGCGACCAACCGCCACTTACCGCTGCGTTTTCCTCTGCTCCTCGGACAAGATTACTTTCCAAACAGAGTGTAGACAGCTTGATTAATAGAGGGGTCCACCGAGGTGCCCGCCGCACTATATTTTCACACTTACTTACGCTCGTTTCATTCGCATAGACTTTTATGCGCTGCTCCTTTCACCGCGGGAGTCTGTCGGTTGATAAAAAACGGAGCTCTTTGAGGCGATGTCTGAGAAAACTCATTAAACATTCGAGATGTTGTGTTCCAGAGCTGACGGACAAGGTCGTTTCTAAACTAACCTGCTTTTCATCTGTGTGTGTGTGTGTGTGTGTGTGTGTGTGTGTGTGTGTGTGTGTGTGTGTGTGTGTGTGTGTGTGTCGACGTCCGTCTCGGAGTGATGCAACATTCATTAAAAAGATATGTAAATATGGAACGTCTTAACCGAGGATTCTGATGTGATGCATTTTCTGGAGATGAATTTAGATTTACACATTTCTTCAGATCAGTGTATTGGCCTCCTTGCAGAGCAGGATAGAAAGAGATGAGGGTCAAATTATCAGAAACATGGGCAGTATTATGTGATGTTGCGAGCCACATTTAAACTGATGTTTTAGAATAAGTGAATTTTATTTATGAGCGAATTTCGAAAGGATCAAGTGCTTATGATTGACCACAGCTGGTCCTGCATTAACTAACACATGATTCACCTGTCAGATGTTTCTTCCCTCAGTTATCTTCGTCTTGATGAATCCCACCCCTACTCCTCCTTTCTTTTTTTGGATAGGGTGGCACGGCGGCCCAGTGGTTAGCACTGTTGCCTCACAGCAAGAATATCACTGGTTCAAGTCTTTACCATACAAGTCAACGTTTCTGTGCAGAGTTTAAATGTTCTCGGTTTCCTCCCACCATCCAGAGACGTGCGACATAAGTGAATTGACCAAACCAAATTGGCACCATAGATTAACTCTTACGCCCCATTCACACGTGGCTTCAGCGTCAGCGATTCACAAAGGGAATGTCTGAAGTTGGGGCTAATGCGTTTGTCATAGCAGTGTCAGCCAATGAAATTAGTCAGCAATCGGCTACTGTCTGAGCTGGTGTATTTGCATACAGCAATCTAATTGGCTGACGCTTCCATCATATATTTTATGCAGCAGATGCCCTTCCAGCCACAACCCATCACTGGGAAACACCCATACACACTCATTCACACACATAAGCTAGGGACAATTTAGCTTACCCAATTCACCTGTCCCAAATGTCTTTGGACTATGGGGGAAACCGGAGCACCCGAAAGAAACCCACGCAAACACAGGGAGAATTTTATTTTATTTTATTTTATTTTATTATATGATATTATATAGGGATACAAGGATTATAGATTTTGGTTGTACGATTATAGCCTGAGGAATAATCACGATTTCACGGTTATCACGATTATTATGCATTCATTCATTTTAAAACATCACTAGTTTAATAAATCACATGAAAACTCCTTATATTTTAAAGTGTTATTTACTGCTGCTCAGTAACCAATTAATACAGCACAAATAATAATTAAAAATAAACAATAGTCCATTTCTCTTTGGACATAAATGTAAGTAATTTTTATTTTATTTTTAACTTAAGCAATAATTTTACACTGAAAATAAACGACAATAAATAAATACATACAAATAAGAATAAATAAAAAATAGCATTTGTCTAAAGTAAATCTAAGCTATATATTAGCTAAGTATTTAAATGAACAGTTGTTATCATCTGTGTTCATAAATAAAATTTTATTTTCAAAGTAATTTTCGGTTAAATTTTTTAGTTTGGCTGCAATAAAAGCAGTTTTTTTTTTACATTTTTAAATGTCATTTTTTAAAGGCCAATATTATTAACCTTTTATTCATCGGTAACATTTTACTAAGTTGTCAAATAGTTACAACAACACAAATAAGTTCTGTAGCATGTATACCAGCATGCACAGTTCAATTATTGTCCCCTTGTACATTCCCCCCCCCCCCCCCTCCAATTTGTGTTTAACTTATTTTTCCCACCCATTTATTAATAAGTCATTTTTAACAACTGATTATTTTAATCATTGACATGATGACAGAACGTGTTACTAGATACTAGTATTCAGCTTGAAGGGATATTTAAAGCCTTTACTAAGTTAATTAGGTTAAAGTTAGGTTAATTAAGCACGTCAATGACAGTAGTAACAGTAGTTTGTTTTGTAGACAAACAAGAAAAAAAAATGCTTAAGGAAGCTAATAATATTGACCTTTCTATTCTATACTAGCTGAAATAAAACAAATAATAGTTTCTCCAGAAGAAAAAATAATATAGGAATTACTGTGAACATTTTCTTTGCTCTGCTAAACATAATTTGGGAAATATAAAAAAACACGGAAGGGCTTATCATTTTAACTTGTACTCTAGAAAGTTTTATATGTGTGTATGTGCGCGTAGGTCAAGCATCAGGAGGAGCTGGTGAAGGCTGCATTTGACCAGAAGCATAAAGAGCTGAAGGAATGGAGAAAGCGCTGGTACTCGGTGTCAGAAAGCCTGCGGCACGCACACACACTGCTCCAGCAGGCCCAGGACAGCCGAGACAGGGCTGTCGGCAGTCTCAAAATACAGCAGGACAAGAACCACAGCCTGCAGGATGATCTGCACAAACTCCACATTACGGTGAGGGCAGAGGAGCAAAACATACAGAGGGGAAAAACCTGAGAATAAAGTTAAGCTTATATTTCTTGCTGATTGTGATTAATAAAAAAAAAAAAGATCTTAGATCACTAGCAGCTTTGGTGTTTCAGCTAAATTTTAGGGGTGTAATGATACGATTTAATGCATATCCCAATACTGAACTCACAATACGAAATTATCCCAATAGTATGTGCTAATAAAAGGGTTAGCCTTTATTTATGTCACATGTAAGTACATTTAAATCAATCATTTAATACAAATTCGATGTCACAGTGCATTGACGATGCTTTCCATACATAATTAGGTACAGGTATTACATATCTTTTCTTTACCACACAAGAACATGTTTATTCAAATCTATAAATATATTTATATGTATATATTATTTGTAATACAATTTTGTCCTTTAATACAAGCAGTCAAATATATGAACTGTACCTTTCATTTTTACCTGTTCAAAGAAAACACTTCCTTTGAATGTTTTAGACAAAATTACAATACATGCATAGAAGCATTTATAGCAAATAAAGAAATGTAAATATTATCCCGCTTGCTTTTTGAGCTCTGTCATGCGAGTTATGAGACTCCTATGATTGGTTTTTGTCACCCATGCACTCAACAGAAAAGGCTGCGATTAGCTTTAAAATTGAAAGCGCTGTTCACCGATGAGTGATGCAGGAACAGCCGTGGTTAAAGTCTATATGCGCCTAATACGCGGTAATCACAGGTAAAGTGGAGAAAGCTCCAACCCAGGCTCATTCTTAAAACGTAGCCCCGCGGACGTTTCTGGAGACCGTGAAATACGTCCCGGGAGGTACTTATTTGTGCAGTTTTTGGTTTTGCGAATCCACAAGAGGCCACTGTGCTCACTTTTTAGCAACGTTCGCGTCCACGCCGTTCTCGATAAAAACCCACAAGAGGCCGCTGTCGAACGACTGTCCGTACGACTGGCTGAATGATTGACTGGGCGACCAGCCAATCGGCCGACCCACCCTCCTCCTCCTTCCCTAAACTCAAGCATTTTACAGATTAACCCGCCCCCCTTACTTCCCTAAACCCAACCAACCATTTACAAAAAAAAAGCCGTATATAAAAAGAAAAGCCCTCGTCTGATTTTTACCTTGTTTTCGGATTTCACTACATTCTCAGCCTGTTATTTACAGCCCAGGCTCATTCTCGAAACGTAGCCCCGCGGACGTTTCTGAAGACCGCAAAATCTGTCCCGGGAGGTACGTATTTGTGCAGTTTTTGTTTTCACATCTCGAACATCTCCTGGGCCCGCGCTGTTCTCGCAGTTCTCGCGTAAAAGCCGCCGGAGGCCGCTGTCGAGCGACCATCTGACCGACTGGCTGAATGACTGGATGAATGACTGGAGCACACTCGTTTCTGGATCCACAAGTTTCACTTTAACAGCTGAGAGAAGAAAAACCTCACGAACACCCTAGCGGGTCAAATGCCCAAGGCGTGAGAGAGAGAGGCAGAGATGGAGTTTTACAGCAATTCTCCCTATAGTGAAATAGCGGTTCACGCTGTGCCTTCCTCAGTGTCAGTGAAAGACTGTCCAACAAACTCACAAGCAATGACTTGTGCAAAACTATCTGCATTTTAAGTAATAGAGCGTTTTATTTACTCGCCCTCGCCTCCTTCGCCATAGTATTCTACCGCGACTTTGCGCATATGAGATAAAGGACATCAGTACATAATAACCAGTTATGATCTATTTCTGAACTGATATCGAATTGTCCCCATCTGCATGCACCGAAGAAACTATTAATTTTGACATCCCTATATTTTACATTAGGGTTCCAGGTATGGCAACCAAAATCTAACATCTGATAAACATCATAGTGGTAACGTCCACAAAATGTCAAGCTATAACATCATTATATTTGGTTGTTTATAGGTTGCGTTGGAAAGTCACTAAAATGCAACATTTGTCCGACATTGGACATTAACGTCAGCCTAACGTTTGGTTCTGACATCAACCCAGTTTTTGTTTCCAAACAAATTGGAGTACAATGTCAATCTGATGTCATGTTGATGTCCTGTGCCTGCTGGGATATAGGGTGATTGCAAACACCCTGACACTGTCCAAGCTGCTGGGTGCATGTTTAGTTGAATTCAAATATAAAAGATCATATAAATATTCACTTTTCTTCACAAATTGAGATATGCTAAATAGATTTATATTCAGAACAGTTCTAGGTATACAATCAGAAAGTCTATATGAATGCTGGATTTTTTTCAGGTTATTTTATGTCTGTAATAACATTGTACTTTTGCAGTCGTTAAACTCAAAGCATTCACTTAAAAGTTATGTTGGTAACCTTAACATGGCTTCCAATAACAGCCCCTATAACATGGCCACAGTCCAATTACTTGCCAAATGCTCCACGGACCTCTGCTACTTGAATTTGTTTTGTGTCTTTCTTAATGATTACCGTAGGCAATTTGATTAGACCTTCTATTTTCTGCTTTGTATCCTGCATCCGCTCACAGAAAGACACTAAAATCATATTTTTATTTGAAGTTGGATCATTATGTTTTGGAATAAAGGGGGCAATGGTACTTTAGCAGATAATTATGTGTAATCTACAATCATTTCAAATAATAACACACAAAGTGGTCGGAGCCCACGTTATCCAATTTGCCATTTAATGCGAAATCTGCTGCTCGCTCTCCCCAAAAATTGAACCATTTCGTCCTATAGAGATTTTTCCCCCTCTTCCTTTCTTTTGTTTGGATTGAACCCTGCTGATTTTAATTGACGTCTGTTTAGGTTTGTTAGCTGGGTCAATATGAGGACAAACTACTTAAAAAACAGTAGTATCAAAATTTTAAATGATATTATTATAATTAAAAGTAAATATTTACTGTTTGCTTTTTTTAGTATTTTGATAAAGTGTGATTATAATATTCTGATCAAATAAACAAAAATCCCTGCTGAAAAATCCAGCTTAAACCAGCCTAGGCTGGTTGGCTGGTTTTAGCTGGTCTGTTTTCCAGCCATTTCCAGCCTGGTCTTAGCTGGTCAGACTGAAAAAATGACCAGCCAAATCCAGCTAAAACCAGCTTGACCAGCCTGGTTTAAGCTGGATATAGCTGGTTTTGGCTGGACTCCCAGCTTGGCTAGGATGGTCCAGTTGGTTTTAGCTGGTCATCTCCCAGCCTGACCAGCCAAGACCAGGCGGGAAATGGCTGAAAACCAGCCTGGAAGTGGCCAAAACCCCTCTAAAACCAGCCTGGTCGACCAGCTTAAATCAGCCTAGGATTTTTCAGCTGTGATGGTAACACTTTATAATAACCACACACTAGGAATCATTTATTAATCACTAGCAATTAGTTAATTAATCATTTGTTAAGCATTAACTCTACATCAATATATGTTAGCAAGCAGTTTATGAACATACAACTACAAATGCTGTATTATTGACTCATAAGCACATATATTGTTAGCATAAAAATTCCAGCTATTCTTAAATAACTGGTTTGCAATACTTAATTCAGTAATTAATCATTAACAAAGTATGAAAACACAATCATTAAGTGCATTATACATGTGATCCAATGACGATGTCAAATGATGTTGATATTTGGTTGACTTTAGGTTGTGTTGGAAAGTGATCAAAATTCAACGTCGAGCCAACGTCTTAAACCAGTGCCATATTTGGCAACCAAAATGCAATGTCCCTTCGACATTGGTGTACAATGTCAATCTGACATCCTGTTGACATCCTGTGCCTCCTGGGTGTTACCACTTACTATTTTGCCAATGCCAATATTTGACAGCAGTTAGCAGGTATTGAAGTCATCTTAAACAATCATAGAGTATTGCAGTATTTGTAATTAAATAACATTTGGAAAATGTATAATGTCCAAGTGAAAATGTAAGTATAAAGGGGATTACGGGATCACATTTTTGTTTTTGATTAATATTTTCAAAACTTTTATGTGGGATTCACATGACACTTGTCGATAAAATAGGCACTAAAAAGTATCCAGTAATTGTCATTTAATTTGATTTGTCAGAGATATGCCATAAAAGGAAGGAAAAGTAACTTTAATAACCCAATGAAAAAGGTTGAAAGTTGCATTTTCGGTAACACTTTATAATAACTACACTCTATGAATCATTTACTAAGCATTAGTATCTAGTGAATTCATTATTTGTTAAGCATTAACTCTACAATAATAAGTGTTAGTAAGCAGTTTACAACTGCAGCTACAAATGCTCTATTCTTGACTTATAAGCACCTATATAATGTGTTTAATAATTGTATTTTCATACTTAGTTAATGATTTATATTTCATTACTAAATGAAGTATTGCAGTATTTACAAACCAGTTGTATTTAAGAGTAGTTGAGGGTCTTCAGAATCATTCAAAATGAGTTAGTAAATGATTAATAAACTATTGAAATCAACATTTATATATCTTATTATTCAGGCATATACTAATAGTCAACTAATATGTTAATAAATGCTTTATTAACTCAACTTCATGCAGTTTTGTGACCTAATCTAAAGTAAGGACTTTTCATGCTTTATAAAGCCCTTATAAATGACATTTAAAGGCTCAGAATCAAATGAACAATAATCTTTGCAATCTTTTTAAAAAGTTAAATTGCTGTAAAGTTAAAACATTGCTGAATAACAGGAGTGTCAAAATATGACATAAAACTGGATAAAACAACAACAACAATATAATAATAATTTAACATTATAATAAGATGCAATGTTTAAACTCTACAGTGATTTTTTTTAGATAAGATTGCAAAGATTTATTTTTCGTTTGAAGTACAGTTTCATTTGTGTATCTTTAAATGAATAGGAATGAATAAAGTCATTTTTCCCGTTTAGAATTGAACTGAGCTTTTAATTGTCATTTATAAGGGATTTATAAAACATAAATAGTCCTCACTTTAGATTAGGTCACAAAACTGGATGAGGTTGAGTTAATAAAGCATTTATTAATATACATAGTAACCATTAATATATGCCTACGTAATAAGACATATACACGTTGATTTCAATAGTTTATTAATTATTTACTAACTCATTTTGAATTATCCTAAAACCCCTCAACTACTCTTAAATGCAAATGGTTTGTAAATAATGTGATACTTAATTTAGCAATGAAAAATAAATCATTAACTAAGTATGAAAATACGATCATTAAACACATTATATAGCTGCTTATAAGTCAAGAATAGAGAATTTGTAGCTGCAGTTATTAACTGCTTACTAACGTTTATTAATGTAGAGTTAATGCTTAACTAATAATGAATTCACTATTTGCTAATGCTTAATAAATGATTTATAGTGTGTAGTTATTATAAAGTGTTACTGCATTTTCTGGAGATGTTGTGATCCTTATTGAAATGGGAAGTTCAAACCACCTTAAAATAAAATAAGATTTGGAAAACATGTGATGTGTGGGGAGTTTAAGCTGGAAAAAAAATTATTATGTGATCACATTTTTGTTTAACATTGAATTTTTCAAAACCTTTATGTGGGTTTTACATGACATGATTTTTCTATATATAAGAGTGACTAAAAAGTACTCATTAAATATAATTTGAATTTATTAATAACTTGAGACCTGATTTGTCACAGAAATGTCATAAAAGGAAAGAAAAGTAACTTTAATAACCCAATGAAAATCAGTTCAATTCAGCTTTATTTGTATAGCGCTTTTACAATGTAGATTGTGTCAAAGCAGCTTCACATAAATGGTCATAGTAACTGGAACAGTGTGGTTCAGTAACTGGAACAGTGTGGTTCAGGTTTTAGTGTTTAAGTTCATTTCAGTTCAGTTTAGCTCAGTTCAGTGTGATTTAATCATTACTGAGAGTTCAAACACTGAAGAGCCAATTCATCGATGCGTAGCTCTACCAATCCTGAACCATGCGAGGCAGTGGCGACAGCGAAGAGGGAAAAAAAACTTCACCTGATGGGAGTGAAGAAAAAAAACCTTGAGAGAACCAGACTCAGTTGGGCACGACCATTTTAATTTCTCCGCTGGCCAAAATTTCTCCGCTGGCCAAAAAGGTTGAAAGTTGCATTTTCTGGAGATATTGTAATACTATTGAAATGGGAAGTGCAAACCACCTTAAAATAAAATAAGATTTGGAAAACATGTGAGGTGTGGGGAGTTTAAGCTGAAATTAACATTTTTGTTTAACATTGAATTTTTCTAAACCTTTATGTGGGTTTTACATGACACTTGTGTTTTTTCTATATATAAGACTGACTAAAAAGTACCCATAAAATATAATTTGAATTTATTAATCATTTGAGACCTGATTTGTCACAGAAATGTCATAAAAGGAAAGAAAAGTAACTTTAATAACCCAATGAAAAAGGTTGAAAAGTTGCATTCCCCGGTGATATTGTAATCCTATTGAATTGGGCAGTTCAGACCACCTTCTAAGAGATTAGAAATATCTGAAATGTTCAGTAATTGTTGCCATGACCTTGCCTTTTCATGTTTCCCTTTTATCCGTTTTCATCAGTTTTATTGACTGTTTATAGTTTGCTGCAGTATATCATGTTGTTTGAAAAAACAAAGCAGCAAGCCGGGCCAGATCAGAGAGAAACGAAGCTGATCAGCATCGATGCACATCCATATATACATCAACAAACACACTGGAATGATGCAAACCTCACCTACAATAGCATGTCTTGCATCTGTGTTTCTGTATACGAACAGTTGGTAGAAAAGGAGTCTACGGTGTCCAGACTTAAGCGAGAGCTACAGGACGCAGAGCATCAGAGGGAGCTTCTGGACTCCAGAGTAACTGAGCTGAACTGTGAAATCCAGCAGCAGAAGAAAGACTGCAGGCCCCAAACAGAGCCGGATGAGGTATAATGCCATGCATTCTTTGGGATAACTAGGGATGCACATAATAGGTTCTCCTCACTCACAGTCACCTGATTTCTGATTAGTCCTACACCTACACGTCATCACAGTCCATTACCTCAGCCCCATAAAAACCATCAACACACTCCATTCTGTGTCTGGCCTCATCACAATTCCGAAAGACAACGCTCTCCTTACAATCAGTGTTTATATTTCATTAGAAAGTACACACCTCTCCTCTTTCCTTGTGATCTCCATCGTCTGAGTCTCTCTTTCCGAATGTGGTCTATCTTGATTCCCTGTCTGGTTGTCGTTGGTCCCCCGTATCTGGTTCCCTGTGTTCCTGGTCTTCCGTAATCCATCCTCTGGTCTATCCAGCTCCATCATATCCAGTCATCTCTATCCTGTTTAACCGTATAAAGTGTTTCTGTTTACAAACTGCCATCCTCATCAACTGTTCATATGCTTACCATTCAGGTTCTCATATCCTTCTGTAACATATGGTCTATAAACAGATCCATATGCCGCTCAGTATTAGCATACCGAAGATGAAACTAGATTTTAAAATTCAACCTTACAAGTCGAGCAACCAAGCCAAATGTGAAAGCATCAGGAGATTGCGTGCTCCCACATATACACTTATCTATGCAAATCACATATGTAAAATACAATTTATTGTTTAGATTTCAATTGTTTAATATATATATATATATATATATATATATATATATATATTGTAAATATTTTATAAAATATAAATATTTTCTTGCTGGATATATATATATATATAAATATATATAAATATTTTTTAAAATTTAAATCTAAACAATTTATTGTTTAGATTTCAATTGTTTAATATATATATATATATATATATATATATATATATATATATATATATATATATATATATATATATATATATATATATATATAAATTGTAAACTCACTGGCCACTTTATTAGGTATAGCTTACTGGTACGAAGGTTGGACCCCATTTGTGTTCTGAACTGCCCTAATTATTTGTGGCATTGATTCAACTAGCTAATGGAAAATTCCTCAGAGATTTTGGTGGATTTTGACATGATAGCATCATGATGTGAATATCCCGTTTCACCACATCCCAAAGGTCCTCTTTTGGATTGAAATCTAGTGAGTGCGCAGGCCATTTGAGTACAGTGAACCCAATATTATGTTTAAGAAAAGAGTCTGATATGATTTGTGTTTTATGATATGGCATGTTTTCTTGCTGGAAGTAGCCATCAGAAGATGGGTACACTGTGGTCATAAAAAGATGGACACGGTCAGCAGCAAAACTCAAGTAGGCTGTGGTTTTAGCACGATGCTCAATTGGTACCAATAGGGTCGAAGTGTGCCAGGAAAATATCCCCCACTCCATTACACCACCAACACCAGCCTGAACCGTTGCTATAAGGCAGGATGGATTCATCATTTCATGTTGTTTACCCCAAAATCTGACCCTACCATCTGAATGTTGCAGCAGAAATCGAGACTCATCAGACCAGACAATGTTTTTCTAATCTTCTATTGTCCAATTTTGGTGAGCCTGTGCGAATTGTAGCCTCAGTTTCCTGTTCTTAGCTGAGTGGCTGTATTAGCTCATCCACCTCAAGATTAGATATGTTGTTCATTTAGAGATGCTTTTCAGCATACCTGGGTTGTAACGAGTGGTTATTTGAGTTACTGTTTAGAGTACAATGGCCAGACTGGTTCCAGCTGATAGAAAGGCAACAGTAACTCAAATAACCACTTGTTACAACTGAGGAATGCAGAAGAGCATCACTAAACACACAACACATCCAACCTTGTGGCAGATGAGCTACAGCAGCAGAAGACCACACCGGGTAACACTCCCGTCAGCTAAGAACAGGGAACTGAGGCTACAGTTCACACAGACTCACCAAAATTGGACAATTGAAGATTGGAAAAACGTTGCCTGGTCTTATGAGTCTTGATTTCTGCTGCGACATTCGGATGTTAGGGTCAGAGTTTGACATCAACCACATGAAAGCATAGATCCATCCTGCTTTGTATCAATGATTGCATCAATGATTCAGGCTGCTGGTGGTGTAATGGTGTGGGGATATTGTTTTGGCATACTTTGGACCCATTAGTACCAACTAAGCATTGTGTCAACGCCACAGCCTACCTGAGTATTGTTGCTGACCATGTACAGCCCTTTAAGACCACAGTGAACCCATCTCCTGATAACCACTTCCAGCAGGATAACATGTCATGTTATAAAGTGCTAATCTTCTCAGCCTGTTTTTTTTAACATGACAATGAGTTCACTGTGCTCAAATGGCCTCCACAGTCACCAGAGCTCAATCCAATAGAGCACCTTTGGGATGTGGTGGAATGAGAGATTTTTATCATGGATGCAACTGCGTGATTCTATCATGTCAATATAGAACAAAATCTCTGATGAATATTTCCAGTACCTTGTTGAATCTATGCCATGAAGGATTAAGGCAGTTCTGAAGGCAAAACAGGGTCCAACAATGTACTAGTAAGGTGTACCTAATAAAGTGGCCAGTGAGTGTGTATTTCTGCTAAAACAAAATCAGGTTTTTATTTTTTTTTTTAAATGCTAGTTTCGTCCCCGCTCTCCCCTACTTGTTCAAATCATTTCACTTTACCTTGATCATATCAACATTTACTTGTTTATGCTGCTGCTCATCTGGAGCTCAGGTTCACATCTAACTCCTGGATTAGAAAATAGCATCTGAAGGCCTCCGAGGGCCGAATGCGGTCCAGATCAAGGTCACGGGCCAGCCAGTCCATCCGACCTCACTCGCACACTAAAAATGGACCTGACGCCGCTCATCTCCCGCTTCCCACAAACTTTTGCATAAGCTGTCAATTGAAGCAGAAGCCCGTGCTGGTTTATTTATACATCTCTGACTGGTCAGTTATTTGTTTGGCAGCGTGTCCTTGTACGTTATAAATGGGACAAACCTGTCACTTCAGTGCTGACTGGATGTTTTGAGTTCTTTGAAAGATTTTCTCTCTCCCTTTTTACATTTATTAATTTATTTTGACTTTTTTCAGAGCGAGCGAGCGGTGAATAATGCATCGGATTTTGCTCCGCGTACTGTTTTTATCATTAGCATTCAGCCCCAGTTATCTTCCGAACTTATGAGTGCCTGTGAAATGTTTGTGATGTTATTTATTTATGTTGCCCTCTCAATTATTCATTTGTTTATTTATTCATGGCAGAACTAACTGCAATTGGAAAATTCATTTTTGCTGAAGGGCACATCCAAACCCCCCCCATCCACACACACACACACACACACCTCAATCCGCTCTCTTGTATGAAGGAGGGCACATCAGGTTTGTTAGTAACTGCTTCATCTGGCATTTCCTAAGACTCAAGGGGAGATGTCATTTTAATCCAAGCAGACGGCTGAAGAGACAGACGGGGAGAGAAAGAGGGAAAAAAGTACAGCAGAAAATAAAAATGGCACTCTAAGGGTTATGGTGCAGGATTATAGAGATGTTGAATGAATATGATAGACCTTACAGATCCACATGATGAATTCCTTCAGGCTTTTGTATGTTGCCTATATATAAAAGATAATAAGTATTATTCTATGGTCTTTTGTAAATCTTGATTCTAATTGGCTGGAAGGTGTTCAATAAACTCATTTAATGGACAGGTTAGTGTTTTCAAAGGAATTGGTACTTAAGTACTTAGTTAGTACTCTTTTTTTATTCTTTAATTAGCGAACATGTTACATTTGGAACTAAATACAATGGGTGCCACAGTGGCTCAGTGGTTAGCCCTGTTGACTCACAGCAAGAAGGTTGCTGGCAGTCCTGTGTGGAGTTTGCAAGTTCTCCCCTTGTTGTTGTGGGTTTCCTCTGGGTGCTCTGGTTTATTATAGTATATATATATATATATATATATATATATACAACAGTTCTGTATGTTTCTCAAATCTGATTGGCTGATAGCCGTGCGATATTTAGCAATATCAGAGACCTACAGCCTCTTTACCCTTTGTGTATTACTCCGCCCACATACAGACAGCAAAAGGCAGACACTACAGATCTAAAGTTTAAAAGAGGCTTGCTCAGCTGTTTAACTGTCAGCTTATGATTTGGATCCGGAAGAAAGTAGTTCCTCATACAAAATGGTTTTTGAGACTCTGCTTGTTTGATTTTGTTTTTATATACACAATTATGCCGTCAAACTGTTGTATAAACGCAATATCACACTCGTAGCAGTGCGATATGGCTGTATATCGGCACTGGTGGGGGCACTAACAATACACGCCTCCCACCAGTGCCGTTATACAGCCATATCGCACTGCTACGAGTGTGATATTGCTCTCATATATATATATATATATATATATTCACAAAAGGTCTTCATGCACTGTAAAGAATTATATATATATAATTATTTTCAGTGCATGAAGACCTTTTGTGAATATATATATTTCTGTAATAAATACGGCATTTTGTGATTAATCATAATTAATCACACTTTTTTGTAATTAATCATGATTAATCACGAAACGCCATATTTATTACAGAAATAAAAACACAGGAATTTAAGTGCCATTTGAACAATGATTTCCATGTTGGATTCTAAGTGGACTACACGCGCACACACACACACACACACACACACACACACACACACAGACAACGCGCGCAGTACAGCGGACCCCTGAGCAAAGGATCTCTTCAGATTCCTCAACACGCACACTCGCGTCTTGCTTATTTGCAAATTGCTTAAACTAAGCGTTCTAAAGTATGGCTGTATTTACAAGCAAGGATTCTGACACAGCAACGTGAAGCAGATGCTTTACAAAAGTTGCGTGTAGGGGGGAAACATTTTTTTTATTTTATTACTTGTTTATTTTACAGGGACAATACACTTGACATTGTTATACAAAGGTAACCGATGTTGCGTACATGTCATGTCAAGCTTATGAAATGTGAGGGCTTATGGACGCAGCTTAAAGGCAGAGAATAGGGCTTGCGACTTCATCTGCCACTTTCACTACAGTACATTTAATTTACATTATACTCCGCTTTTATGATTAAGATAATACTGATTAAGAGTCTACCAAATAAGCAGCGATTTTTGATTACCTTAAAGGATCACCCGAGTCCCGAAATGCGGAGGTTTTTCTTTCTGTTCACCATGAGTAGTATAATAGTATGTTGACTTTCTCAAGCCACCATAATTACACATGTAAATACATGCATGTATTTAATCAATCATAAGTACAATGTAAAAAACATGTATTGACACATTGTAACTAATTATTAGTGTCGATGTAGGTACTTATTAGTTAAGGCCACTTAATATAAAGTAAGACCTAAAAAGTCTTACAACACACTGTAAGCGTCTAGGGCAAGGGTGGCCAACCCTGTTCCTGAAGAGCCACCTTCCTGCAGATTTCAGTTGTAACCCATATCAAACACACCTGGCTGTAATTATCACGTGGTGTTCAGGTCCTAATTAATTGGTTCAGGTGTGTTTGGTATGGGTAGCAACTGAAATCTGCAGGAAGGTGGCTCTCCAGGAACAGGGTTGGCCACCCCTGGTCTAGGGCCACATATATTGGTACTGGCTGTCAGATAGTAGTTGAGCAATATTTTCTGTCTGTGTTGTGTTTAGATAGCAGGGCAGATGCAGGAGGTCTGGTCCAGCAGAGAGAAGGCTGCGGCCCTGCAGAAAGAGTTGAGCAGACTTCAGGTGATCCTGAAACACAGAGAAGAGCTGATAGAAGAAAACAACCTCAAGACGACACAACTCCAGCGAGACACAGACTGTCTTCACAAACAGGTAAACACACACACACTCACACACACACAAAAACACAGAGAGACAGAGCAAACATACTAAAAATCACAAATTGGCCAGTCTGGGTATTGAGAGCTGAAAAATGTATGACGTAAGCATGAGTTTGGCGATGTTGTTGTGTGTGTGTTTTTGCTGAAGGGTGTTTGTGAGATCTCTCGTGTGTAATATTTCCTGTCTGCAGCATCCACAGACCTCACATAGGCATGGAATTCCAATTAACTCCTTTAATTAGGCCCTCCCTTGCTCATGGCAGCGTTCCTTCATTTATTTTAATCTTGTTTATTCACCTTGATTGTTTCGCCATATAGATTTTTTTTAATTAGGTTAGATTGATTAAATTGCATTGATTCTCTGTCCTTATTAAAATGAAACAGACCCCCCCCCCCAATCTACTCTCTCCAGACCACTGTTATTTTTCATAATTAGTGACTGTGCCTACAGCGTGACTTTAAGTGTGTGTGTGTGTGTGTGTGTGTGTGTGTGTGTGTGTGTGTGTGTGTGTGTGTGTGTGTGTGTGTGTGTGTGTGTGTGTGTGTGTGTGTGTGTGTGTGTGTGTGTGTGTGTGTGTGTGTTGTGTGCTTTAGTTTCATTCCTAAATTTAAAATAATAATAATAATAATAATAATAATAAATGATTAAAACTAATTAACCAGGGGTTCCCAAACTTTTTGTCAGTTTAACACATAAAAGATTTTTATTAACGTATTCATTAGACTTTAAGATTATAAACTGATTTTTATTTATTTATTTATTTATTTATTTATTTATTTATTTATTTATTTATTTATTTAAATATTGTATGTATATATACTTTTATTTAAATATTATTCATTAAATCATTCATTATATTATTTTATTTATTTTTATTTTATGTATTTATTTAAATATTACATTTATATATAATATTATTTGCATATTATTCATTAATTCATTATTGTATTTATTTATTTATTTATTTATATTTTGTTTTATTTATTTATTTAAATATTACATTTCTATATAATATTAATTAAATATTATTTATTGATTAGTTCATTATTTCATTTTATTTATTTTTATTGTATTTATTCATTCATTTATTTTATTTTCAGCTTAGTCCCTTTTATTATTTATTATTAAGGGATATATATATATATATATATATATATAAATAAATAAATAAATAAATAAATAAATAAAAATAGCACTGTTGCCTCACAGCAAGAATGTTGCTGGTTTGAGCCTCGTTTGCATGTTCTCCCAGTGTTCAGGGTGCTCTGATTTTCCCCACAGTCCAAAGACATGCGGTACAGGTGAATTGGCTAAGCATCATTGGGATATGAGCAAATCGTACTAAATTGTACTAATGAGATTGTACAAATACATAAGAATTAGCCACTAAATCAAAAAGTTACAAATCTCCATGAGATAGTGTTGGATTATCAAAGACTGTTGTCACAGCAAACACTTAGTGTGCAACACTTGAGGTCTTCTAGAAGATTCAGTGGCGTCACATTGAGCATCCTGCTGTCTGCTTCACCTGATAAACACTTGATGCTGATCTGGAGAATTTTTAATCACGAAGCGACCCTCGGCTCTTTTAATTTTGATCGATGACTCCGTTTATCCTTTACATAACACATTCCTGTCTCAGTTCTTCCCCTCCACCTCTCACCGCACCCCTCCGCCCGGGACGAAAATGATATTAGAAACTAAATGAGATTTGAAATTGTGTGTTTGACAAGTGACTTGATGACAGGGTTTTATTGCGGGGCCTGATCCATGGAAATTTTATGCTAATAACACTGCTGGCCGGCCGATCTGGTATGAAATTAATCAGCGGAGGAAAAGAGCGAGAGAGCTCTACATAAAGTGTGTCTACTCGTCCTCGCTCTCTCCGTCTGAGTCTCATCTGAAATAGCCACAGGCTGTTGTCTGTGTGATGAGTTTGCCAGTGAAATAGGGAAAATTACACTGAGCTTAGCACTGATTCATGCTGTAATGCAGCCACGCAACACACTGCTGTCAACTCCGTCCAAGGACTGTAATTTTTGGTTTATGTTGCCTCGGCCCAATATGTCATTTTAGACTTATACTGACACCTAGAGATGTGGATGCAGTATCACGCAACTGGTTTCAATTACTGATGCCATTCTGCAGAATTGCAGTATTCACAATCAGACATGATTCATTTGTTCTACAAGTGTCCAAAAGCAGTAATAAAGTGAGTGGAAGGCCTGGTAGGTAGCTGCTCATGTCATAATGTTGCAGCACTCGCCCTGAAAAATTAATATATCTATGTATATACACTCACCGACAACTTTATTAGGTACACTTGTCCAACTGTTCATTAACGCTAATTTTTAATCAGCCAATCACATGCCAGCAACTCAATGCATTTAGGCATGTAGACATGGATCTGCTGCAGTTCAAACTGAGCACCAGAATGTGAAAGAAGGGTGATTCAAGTAACGTGGCTTGGTTGTTGGTGCCAGACGGTCTGGTCTGAGTATTTCAGAAACTGCTGATCTACTGGGATTTTCACGCACAACCATCTCTAGGGGTTACAGAGAATGGTCTGAAAGAAAATATCCAGTGAGTGGCAGTTCTGTGGGGGCAAATGCCTTGTTGATGCCAGAGGTCAGAGGAGAATGACCAGACTGGTTCCAGCTGATAGAAAGGCAATAGTTACTCAAATAACCACTTGTTACAACTGAGGTATGCAGAAGAGCATCTCTGAAGGCACAACATGTCCAACCTTGAGACAGATGGGCTACAGCAGCAGAAGACCTCACCGAGTGCCAATCCTGTCAGCTAAGAACCAGAAACTGAGGCTACAATTCACACAGACTCACCAAAATTGGACAATAGAAGATTGGAAAAACATTGCCTGGTCTGATGAGTAATATATATATATATATATATATATATATATATATATATATATATATATATACATACAAGATCAGAATTATTAGCCCCCTTTCAATTTGTTTCTTCTTTTTTAAGTATTTCCCAAATGGTTTTTATCAGAGCAAGGAAATTTTCACAGTGTGTCTGAAAATATTTTTTCTTCTGGAGAAAGTCTTATTTTTTAATTTCTGCTAGAATAAAAGCAGTTTTTCATTTTAAAAAAAAACATTTTGGGACAAAACTATTAGCCCCTTTAAGCATTTTTTTTCAATACAGAACAAACCATCATTATACAATAACCTGCCTAATTACCTTAACCTGCCTAGTTCACCTTATTAACAAGCCTTTAAATGTCATTTTAAGCCGTATAAAAGTGTCCTGAAAAATATCAAGTAAAATATTATTTACTGTCATCATGGGAAAGATAAAATAAATAATTTATTAGTAATAAGTTTTTAAAACTATAATAATTAGAAATGTGCAAAAACAATCTTCCCTCCATTAAACAGAAATTGGGTAAAAAAAAAAAATAAACAGGGGTGATAATAATTCAGGGGGGCTAAGAATTGTGACTTCAACTTTATATATATATATATATATATATATATATATATATATATATATACATATATATATATATATATATATATATATATATATATATATTTTTTTTAGGCAAGCGATGATGACTTTTACCTTGATATTACAGTGAATAAAAGTCAAACTGGTTAAACGTCTGCCAAAAAGTGCCCTTCTCGATCTTTCTCCTTATTCGAAGACACTACTGACTACATTTACATGGACATCTGTAATCTAGTCATTTGCCTTAATAGACAATAAAATAATTAAGGTGTTTATGTGAAATGCTTTCATAATAGATAATAGGTAATCGATGCAAATAAGGAGTGAGGACTGGTGAAAGTGTTATGGAAAAAAACTTCTGCATTTTGCAATGTGTGTGTGTGTGTGTGTGTGTGTGTTTGTGTGTGTGTGGATCTCGTCGGAAAATATGGAGAAAAGTCCTAGCTGACGGTAATAGTTTGATCGCGGTGTTTACTTCAATAATGCCACTAATATCTGCATATTCCATATCTTGTCCATTTACACGTCCATTTCTTTTTAGTTTAGTTAGGCTTTTAGTCGGATTAAGGTTATCAAAAATGGCTTTTAGGACCTTATGTAAGCTTACAGTTCAACATTTATGTTTAACTGAATAAACAGTTAGTAAACACAAGTACATCTTATTGAACATCATTTATTTTCATCACCAATTATCCACAGTTTCTGAAGCAGTTTGTGATGCATTTTGGAAAAAGGAGATAAGCCCCTGGTCTAATGCGCCACCTGGCTTGAGAAACCCGTTCTCAAAGACTTACTTTTAGTTATTATTTGGGTAGCACACATATTCTGAATGCCTTCGGCAGAATTCAAATGAGCCATTTTAATGTAGATGAATCTAGATGAATATTACGAATACAGTGAGATTAATCTAGATTAAATCAATCTATGCCCACCTATAATATATAATACATTTGTCCTCAACTGTAGTTGCCCCATAGTTTCTATTTGATTTACTTTCCTTTACCACCTTTTACTAGTTTTCATCAGCTTAAGAGCCAGATTCATATGTTCTATTATCCCTGCACACTTGCTTCATTTATCCCATTCATCTGTCAATGGTTTCCCCATGTGCAAGTCCTCCCGGCTCAATGGTAAAGAAACAGAAGCGTAGGTGAATCACTAATGGAGTCATTATCAGGTTCCACTCGTTTAAAACAACACAATTAGCGCCCTAGTCTTAATGATGCTTGCAAGGGAAGTTGTGCGCGCGCCGAGGAGACTCCATCCAGGGCTTTCACCGGCACAATAAATCACGCAAGTTAACTCACAGAACTAATATAACGCGTGTGTGTGCGCGCAGGAGTCTGTGTGATTTATTATTTTCACCCTGCGAGACATCTGTTATAGTGCTCCTTATTTTTGTAATGCATCATCAGCCAGGGGAAAAAATAATATTATCCAATCTGGGATGGGCTCTCTCTGGAGTCTAATAATCTAATGTAGAGCTGCTATCAGTGAGCCACCGCAGACACGCTTCAGGGAGCAAACAGGCTTCGCTGATTTCTGTCGGAGAATCTCTGGCATTCATTATATATGCCTGCGTCTGGCTGTAAATGTGAGTCTGTAAATCTGCGGGTGTTATAGGAAGGTTCCAGCTCTAATTTCTTATTAAATGAGCTCTAATTGAAGTGTGCTAATGAGGGGATATAACACACAAAAGTGCTTTAATACTGAGTATCAGTACTGCTGTGAGGTCACAGGTGATTATTTTGAGTGTGATATTGCAATTAGCTTAGCTTAGCATAAATAATTGAATCGGATTAGACCATTAGCATCTTATTAAAAAAATAAAATTGGCTGAATGAATTAAAAACTGGTAAAACTCGACTGTTTAACTCTAAGTGACATAAAATGAAGCAAATAATTTTATTTATTTATTTGTTTATTTATTTATTTAGATTGGCTACAGGACAAACCAATGTTGTTTTATGACTTGGCTAATTAACCTAACCTGCCTAGTTAACCTAGTTAAGCCTTTAAATTGTACCTGAATTTAAGCAAACAAATAGTAGTAGTTTACCAGGAATAATAAGCAAAAATACAATATATACAAATGAAATTAGGCAGAGACCAAAGCATCAGGTTTTGCGTGTCAGTTTAGGTGGACTTATGCATTTATTTTTGGCATTTTACTGCCTAGCTATGAAATGGATGCTCTAAATATGTTTAAAACCACTATACCAATGTTAAAGTGTGCTAATTAAGGATTATAACACAAAAAGGTGCTTTAATACTGAGTAGCAGTACTGCTGTGAGGTCACAGGTGATTATTTTGAGTGTGATATTGCAGTTATGTGTGAGTTTTACCATTTTGGAAATCATTTAGCCGATCTGATGGGAGCACTTTTAACTTAGCTTAGCTTAGCTTAGCATAAATCATTGAATCAGACCATTAGCATCTCAATAACAAAAAAAGAAAAATCGACTGAGAAATAAATCGACTTTATTTCAAATAAAGTGGAGTGTTACTTTAAGAAATGTATTTATTTATTTAGATTTTCTACAGGACCAATGTTGTCTTATGACTTGGCTTATTAACCCAACTTGCCTAGTTAACCTAGTTAAGCCTTTAAATTGCACTTTAACCTGAATTTAGGCAATAAAAATATTAGCAGTTTACTAAGAAAAATAGGCAAAAATAGAGGATATACTAATGAAATTAGGAAGAAGCCGAAACATCAGGTTTTGCATGTCATTTTAATTGGACTTATGCATTTATTTTTGTCATTTCACTGTGTGGCTATAAAATGGATGCACTAAATATGTCTAAAACCACTATACCAGTGTTGATGTGTGCTAAATAAGGAATTTAACACTTAAAGGTGCTTTAATACTGAGCAGCAGTACTGCTGTGAGGTCACAGGTGATTATTTTGAGTGTGATATTGCAGTCATGTGTAAGTTTTACCATTTTGGAAATCATTCAGCCGATCTGATAGGAGCACTTTTAGCTTAGCTTAGCATAAATAATTGAATCAAATTAGATCATTAGCATCTCAACAAAAAAAGGAAGAAAGAATTGACTGAATTGATTAAAAGTGGTAAAGTTTAACTGTTTAACTCCAGGTGACTTAAAAAAAGAAGCTATTTTCAAAAAAGTGGAGTGTTTCTTTAAGAATTTTATTGATCTCCCCACTTCAGTTTAACTTTATCACAACTTGTATTTCTCAATATTCTGAAACAAACCTCTCATTTAAATTAGTATATTTAATAGGAAGCTTAACAATGTTGTATTTGTGCATGTACATTAGATTAGTCCATACTGAAGCCAAATCTGCAACTTATCTAACTAAATATCTTATGATAATGGTCCAAAATTGATAGACCAAATTTATTTGTATTTTCAATGTATTTTTTAAAAGAGCAAAATTCAAAAGAAACAAAAAATGTCTACAATTTTGTTGAAATTTTGTAGTTTGTATGAATGTATTATCTTTCTATTTCTGCTTATGTTTTATGACTAAAATATTATTTTAATAAGTATATGCGTTTAATATATGTGTTTTGTTCAAATCCACCAAAATACAGTATATGACCTATATTCACTGAGAAATGGATACCAATATTATTTTTTAAAATGGGGTGTACTTTATTATGTTGAGCACTCAGGGTGTCCACGAATTCTTTAAATGTGTCCTAAATTTCAAATACAAAATTTCAGGCTTTAAAATTCTTATATTGACTGAAATATTGAGCTGTAGGTCTTCATTTTCAACAGCTCTTAATTTTTTCTCTCTTAATTTCTGACTCTCAAACACCAATAATCCATAAAACTTTGTTTTATAGATTTAAGTTGTTTTTTATCGCAAAGAGATTTAATTCAATACAGCTGTTTTTATGTCAGAATCTCCAAATAAAATACCCTAATCAGGGAAAGAAAACTAAAGCTATACATGCCTTTACATGATCTTCCAATAGTACAACTATTTTCAGAAGTAACCGGCCCATTATAAAAAATCAAACCCAGGCTCATTTTGATTACGTACCCCTGTGTACATTTCTGGAGAACACCAAATACATCCCATGAGCTACTTTTTTTGCAGTTTTTGTTGTCACGAATCCACCAGAGGCCATTGTGTACACTTTCTGAGATCTCAAATTTCTCTCACGAGTGTCATTCATGCCTGCTCTTCTCGCGTAAATGCACCAGAGGTCGCTGTCGTCTGACTAGCTGACTGTACAACCGACCGATCCCCCCCTCCCTCCTCATTCCCTAAACCCAATCGATAGTGTTTTAAAAAGCACAGATTGACCAGACATTTTCTTAAAACTAACCAACAGTGTTTTAAAAGCAATCTAGAAAAAAAAGAGCCCTTCTGGCAGCCTGATTTTTACCACGTTTTTAGATTTTACCACATTCTCATCCTGTTATTTACTTGCTTGTTTTATTTTTCGACTTCTGTTTTTGTCTTAACTGCTTTCTGGAAGCGTTTTACACCAGACTCGAACCTCGTTGTCATGGTTGACTCCTCTCTGCATTTAAAATCCTCAAACGGATACAATGAGCCAATAACTGGTAACAGAGGAAAAGCCGTCCATATGGAGGTAAGCGGTCAGCCTGTAAGCGTGAAAAGGAACGGTGTCATACCGCCCCGTAGTGTTCATTTTAAAGACAAAATGCAGCCATACATACCTTTGGCTACATAATTCGCCATCTCCAGAATTGCATATAGGGGAACGTTTTCAGAATGAGCCTATGTTGAAAAAATCCTTAATGTTTAGCCCTGTATAAGTCTAAAATTTAATTCATAATGCTCTTAAAGGGGTCTTATATTTGACTTGAAGAAATCTTCACAAAGCCTGAGCACTGTATGTGATTGTGTGCTTCAGGCGTCCTGCAGGGAAGCAACCCTGCGCTGTCAGGATTCAGAGTTGATTGAGCTGAAGGCAGGACTACAGGAGGCTGAGAAAATGGCCACAGATGCAGAGGCCCGACTGCAGCCTCTCACTGAATCCCTGCAGATCTGCAAACACAAGTACCAGACCTGCCTTAGCAAGATCGCACAGCTCCAGAACACTCTGCACAGTCAGGAGGAGGACCTGAAAGAGGCCCACAGTCAGGTTAGTGCTTGTTATGGGTGAATTCAGAGGAAACATTCAATTCAATTCAAATTAATTTGCATAGCACGTATCAAAAGAATTGGTGTTTCAAAGCAGCTTTACAAAAGGTGCAAATCATTGCATCACAATCAAAGTCACTTATTAGTTACCTTAACTTCATTAGTTACTAAAACTTTAAATAGCTAGTTGTTAATTACTAATAGCTTTTCACAGTTAAAGTTATTATATATAAGTATAGAGTTACTATAAATAAGTATAAAGTTATTATGTATAAGTATACATAAGTAAACTCTTTATCTCTCTCAAAAACCTTCCTAATTTTTATTGGCACCCCAGCACTTACCAGCAATATTCCCACCAGTTATTCCTGTGAGATTGCTGGCTTGCACATTAAAACATCTACTTCTGTAAAAAATTTAGGTGTAATCTTTGACTCCACACTCTCTTTTCAGTCACACATTAAATCTGTCACTAAATCGTAGGGATGTAACGGTATTGTAAATACCGTCATACCGCAATATTAAATTTTTTCGATATTACCGAAGTCGCATGACTCGGTAAAACTATAGGTGTTCTGAGAAAATTTGCTCAGGCGAATGAAGCGAACGGGAGGTAGCTGAAACTTCATTTCCCATCAGCCCCGGCGTGGCCATAATCCTTTGCGGTCTGTTGTCGCTACAGATCCAGTAATGCGGAAATGGAGTGTGCTGCTAGTAGCGGAGATGAAAAAAAGATGGAAATGATCGAACCTAACGCGGGTGTTGTCGCCGCGCGCGTGCTGAATAGCGGTGCTGTCGCGCGCGTTCTGATCAGCTGTGTTGTGGCGCGCGTATTGTAAAGCGCCGAGGGGGGGTTGAGCGCGCATACTCAAGAGAGGTGTTATCGCGCGCCTACTGAAGGGCTGGACTGGACGGAGGTTGTGTCGCGTCGCGGGGGCACTTTTGATCGTTTTGGAAGGGCATTTTCTATCCAAGACTAAAAAGGGCATGTACACTGCACAGGTTGAGCCCTATGTGTGCACGTGCCTGCAAGTTGGGGAATACGACTAATAACAGTCATGGGGACTGCAGAAACACAGCACACTGTTCAGATTGATGCAGACATGAGATCTCTATCTCACTCATGGTTTGTCCTCTCAAGTGGGGGAAAGACAATGCACAACGTTACCCCACTGCTGTCAACATGGGCCAAGTCATATCTCTCTTGTCCCAGAATCCTCAGTCCCAAATGAGAGGGGTTTTTTTCTGTTGCAGGGGACATTGTAAATACCCAGAGATACCAGCTTTTACCAGATTATAGTTATATGATAATTTTCCTTTAAACCCATCTCTATCTAAGTGAGTGATTAAATGTTGAATGTGATGAGTTTTCAACAATACTAAATTGAAACTTTATTTTTTTTACATGGTTTAATAATTTTTTGTTATTAAAATTGAAGTTCCTGTTTCAAAGCTTACAGATAGATGGCTAATTTGTATGTCATTGACACTTTTGGCACTTTTTTGGAGTATTTTCAAAAGTTTTTTTTTTTCCTGTAAATGATTCAATAAATACCGTACCGTGCCATTCATACCGAGGTATTACCGTACCGTGAAATTCTGATACCGTTACATCCCTACTAAATCGGCATTCTTTCACTTACGTCGCATTTCACAACTGCGTCCCTTCATCAGTAGCAAGGATGCTGAGACTGTCATCCATGCATTTGTCTCCACACGCATCGACTACTGTAATGCTCTTTTCATTGGCCTGCCTGCCAGCCTCATCTCCAGATTACAGTATATTCAAAACTCTGCAGCTAGAATACTTACCCATACCAAACGGTCGGCTCACATAACCCCAATCTTGTATGATCTTCATTGGCTCCCGGTTGCATACCGGATTAAATTCAAAATTCTCCTCCTTGCATTTAGATCCTTAAATAACCTTGCACCTTCCTATCTCTGCAACATGCTTGTCCCCTACACCCCAACTCGCTCTTTACGGTCTGCTGACTCTGGCCTTCTTGCTGTCCCTCGGTACCGCCTCTCTTCTATGGGGGGCAGATCATTTAGTGCTATTGCACCCAAACTCTGGAACTCTCTACCACACTCACTTCGCTCTGCTAATAATATCTCTGAATTCAAATCCTTACTTAAGACTCACTTATTTTCTGAATGCTTTGCATCTGATCTACCAAACTGACCACTTAATCTGATCCACCACTATCCTGTTCATATGTCTCTTAGGTTTCGTTTGTGTTATTCATGTTTGTTATATTTGACCTCATGTATGTTTGTTTATCTTTTTGTTGCATTCCTTGTAAAGTGTCCTTGAGCTCTGGAAAGGCGCTATATAAATAAAAATTATTATTATTATTATTATTATTCCCCCTCTTTTACTCTTACACTAAATTTGTGCTTACTAACATCTATTAATGTAGAGTTAATGACGAATTAACTATTTTCTAATGCTTAATACATGATTCATACTGTGTAATTATTATAAAATGTTACAGAAACCGGTTATTGTGCCATGTCTATGGTGATACAGACATCTGTGTGTGCTGTTGTTTGTGTGTGTTCAGGTGGCACTGAGGGAAGAGCAGCTCCTGCATCTGAGAGCTCAGGTTGTGTGTCTTCAGGAGGATCTGCAGGTTCACCGCACGCAGCTGGAGACTGGAGACGACGCCATAACCACACTGAGCCAGAAGCTCCGGGACACGGAGAGAGAGCTGGAGCACAGCCGGAAGCACACACAAGAGTGTGAGCTGCTCATCAGCACTCACAGAGACACAGCTGAGAAACTTCAACGCCAGGTATGCTCACCGGAAACACCACTAACTGAACCGCACATCAGTAGGTTCAACTCCTTATAACTCAATGTAGTCTTAACGCCACCTCTATTCCTAACTTTAATAAAGCCACTTCCCCCCCCCCCATTTCTGTTTAACGGAGAGAAGATTTTTGTGACTATTAAAAGAGTACAAACTATTTATTTGTTTACTCATTTTATTTTATTTATTCATTTCCCTTTTGATGGAGAGAGGGAAATGTTTATAAGGGTAATAATGTTAAGTAATAATTCAAAATGTATGTTGTCATTTTCTGAATTCATGCATCATGCAGAAAATCCAATAAGAATTAATAATAATTACATTATTATTCCAAACTACTTGATAGGCTCATACTTTTAGCTTAAAATGATAAAAGATTATTATATTTTTATATAGTCTTTTGTTAATGCTGATGAAAGTTTTTCTTCATTGCATTGGAACAGATGTGTTAAAGTTTCACTTGTCTGTTATTTAAAAGCAGCAAAATAAACATTCATTTCTATTTAATCGATTAATAAATATTTCTCAATTCCCAACTTAAAAATAAGTCCAATCTAGACAAAATGAGAATAATGTCATTGACCTAACAAAAGCTTTGGCTCTGAGGATCTTTTCCTACTTTGTCAGAATCACAGTATCTTCACACCCCTGAGCTATTAAATTGAGTATGGTCGCTCGCTGAGAAAGGCTGCAGATTTGCACTTTGAATGCCCCATAATGCAGCAGACTCAACACACTCATCTCCTCCCTAGAGCTGAACTCTGCTGGGTTCTGAATGCGTAACAATCCAGCTGAAACCTAGTTAGCACACGTACAGGTGGAAAGTGGCTTGTTAGTGCAGCTGGAGGTGTGAACTCTTTGGGGAAGACGAAATTTGTGCCACTCAACAGGCCAAAATCTGAGCTTCAGATACAGCGGAGTGTCAGTACTGGATAGTATCGATCCCGGTCGAAACCCTCACACTTCTGCCAATGTGAGGAGAGAGCTTTTTCAGGTGTTTCATTTCCCACAGCGTCCGCGAGAGAGCTGCGATGGCCTCTCTGGAGGAATTCTGGGACTTGAAGTTGTTATTGATTTGTAGTTGTTGGGTAAAGATTAAGCGTGTGGCCCTTTCAGACAGCGCGACTGGTGTTCAAATGGACCTGAAGTTGTTTTGATTTGCCTGTACATTCACCAGGGTGGCGGAAAGTGGAAAATCCTGCTGGCTCTGCTTCAAATAATGGGCATTGCTCTCAGCGGTGGCGGGACAGGCCTCGTCTGCGGCCCAGCGGTGCAGTCACCTCTGTCGGATGTAGTGCACGCTAGGTGTACCGCTCTACATTCCTACTCCATCCTGTGCCTTTTTTCTTCTCCAGCACCTCCAACCCGACTTCTGTTCTCAAATATCTACGATGCCCATTAGCAATCCCTAAACATCACACTCATACATGCTATATTGATCCTACTGTTTCCAGACGAGACCTCCAAACACACACGTCCTTCAGCTGTTGGCCTGTGTCCTGTTCTTGAAAGTGTACGCTCTGCTTAATTGCTCTCGTTCACTCAGAAGCTGCCGAGCTGTCTGTGCCTCGCCGTAACCTTCGACAGGGTGAGACGGAAAGTTTCCTTTATCTCTGATTGGGATGTAAAACAATCACATCGTTCAATCACCTCACTGTCTTTTACTCTCAGTGGGAGCTGTGGGATGTTATGTAAGTCTTGCGGTGAGGAACGTGTGTGGTTCTCTTGTGAACTACACTCAAAGATGATTTTTTTCTGCTTGTTGAAACTACTTATCTAAGGCCCCGTTTACACTAATGCGTTTTAGTTTGAAAACGCATAAGTTTTGCTACGGTTACGCCATCCGTCCACACTACGCCGGAGTTCTCGAGCGCCGAAAATGGAGCGTTTCGAAAACGCTGGAGAGGCCGTTTTCATTCTGAAACGCTGCTGCTCCGTCTCAGTGTGGATGGGGAAAGACGGAGAGATCTGAAAACGGAGGCGGGGCTGCAGACATTCGCCTCTCTGATTGGGGCTTTTCCTCAATATTAAGTAGCCTAACACACAGTTCAGTCCTGAATCTTCTCCGTGTAAGTTCAGACTTCGCAAGTTTGATCAAGGCTGCATCTCTTCTTCTCAGTTTGATATGGAAAACATACCGAGGACACGCGTCAATCTTCACAGGGAACAGTGTACTTTATAACTTCATTCACATCACCCTGGCTAAGTTGTTTCACTTTCTCAACAATAAAATGTAAACTTGATATAAGGAACTGCCTATTTTTATTTTAATATTAACAACTAAACAGACAGCAGAAATGTTGAGGCGTCGTGCTGCATATATGAGCGTCATCTTCACTGTGTGGATATTTATAACAAAACGGAGCCAATAACAACTGCCTCCTTTCAATTTCAGTGAAAATACGAAACACACCCTTACTTTTGCTGAATATCAGTTTTAATAATCGATAATGGCCATTATAAAAGTATAACATACAATAAGTTTATACATTATAGGAAATAAAGGCAAGCGATCAGTCAATATACAGAATAGGCTACGTGGTTACATTAATCATTAACTTTTCTTTGCGCTCAGCCAAAACACGTTACCTGAGAACAAGTAATAGATTCCAATGACCAAAGTCAGGGAATATGTCGTTAGACAAAGACAACAAGATGAATGAAATATCCCGTTTAATAAATATATTGAGATTAGATCCAGTGGGAGATGCTTGATGAGAAGTCCGACTAGCAGAGCTCTCATCTGGGTAGATGGGCTCCAGCGATTGCCAACGTGTGTGTGTGTGGTCACGTGATGTGCGTTTTCAGCGTTTTTGTTGTGGACGGAGAGCAGTTCAGAAACGCTGGGTAAAACGCGAGTGTGGACGCGGATCGTTTTCATTCTAAAACTCCGTTTTAAAACTAAAACGCAATAGTGTAAACGGGGCCTCAAATGAGCTGAACCTACACAATTCTTGAGATTTTTTGGGGTACAACTTAATTGTTTTATGTTCAGTCTACTTAAATTTGTTAGATTAGCATAATCAGTTTGTGTTTAGTTAGCATAAGTGAAGTTTCACAAACTAATTTCGAGAGGAGCACGTGATAGGATTGACTACAGCTGATCCCTATCACTAATCACTAACTATCCAATTGGATAATTCCAAATTGAATATAAATATCCAGCCTAAACTTCATTCCTCATCTTCGTTTTGCACCAAAACATCGTCGGGTCAATCAATTCTTTTATAAACACTATAGACCAATTATTAACCTACGTCACACATGACGTCACACTAGTCCCCGGTTGCAAAAAAAGGACAGGCTGCAATGAGAAACATGTTGTTTTGTGCGGTAGGATGCCGAATTCGAGTCCAAAAATTGAAAACGTAACTTTTATCATACACCACACACTGCTTTAAAACCGACTGCAGACGTCTTTGGCTAAATTAGAGCTGAATGAAGTGAGGAGCTAATTAGAAATGCTGGACTCTGCAGTTCTCATGTCATATCAGGTCAGCTCACGCTATGCTGAATCATACACATCACTCGTTTTTGATTGCAGAAAGGATTTCAGCAAAAACAGTTACATATGGTGAATTAAACTGCGGACACTGAATGCTAAGAATGAAACGTGAAAGTTACGTTTATTAAGGTAAAGTTGGTTTTATATTCACACATTCATTCAGTGACAACTTGTGACAAACTCTCTATACTGTTTACCACGGCACTTTGAATATTCGGTCTGAAATAACCTGCAAGTGTGACTTGAAAGCAACATTAACACTGTTTGTTTGACTGTGAACATGTTGTACTTTGATAGTCATTGGCTGCTAATAAGATTTCGACATTTAGAGTTTGCAAATAATACTTTAATGAAATTATATTGTTAAGGAGAAAGTCAGAATGTGCGAATATAAAACCGACTTCACCTCGTACACATATTCTGCCGTACAGGTGCAGTTCGCTGTCAGAATGCAGTGGTTTTGCTTGTTGGTGATTAATTTCCCAGGCCTTGTGTTACGTTAACTTCGTCTTCTTTCCTTGTCTTTGGCTAAGCAGAATCTCGGTTTTTAGCTCTACATAGTATTGAATCTGGTCATCATGGAACATTATTTCTTGCACATGACCACACAGAACATCATTCTTGGCATCCAAAGACTTGTAGACCTTTAACTTCTCCCTTGTAAAGTCACTTGTAGCTTCAATGAGATTGTATATTTGGGGCTGGATGCTTGGTCATTTCGTCTTATTCAATATCCATTGGGTGGGTGCTATCGACCTGTTAGATGAACGCCGCTCACTTTAACGTTAATTTTGCCAAATCACTGTGCTTATCACTGGGTGACGAGCTGTTATAATATGCTGAAAGCATTATGTAAATAATAAATATAATGTGTAATCAATATATCTTATTTCTAAGACAACAACAAACTCTGCACCGCATCTGATGTCATTCCCTCGCTGTAAATGCTGGCGCTCCCGGTTTTTTCTGCCACTTCCCTGCGCGCGCATCCTGAATGTTTACAAACATGGTAATTGGTCAATTGGTTGGGTTTAGCGAAGGGGTCAGTTGGTCAAGTCAGTTGGTCAATCAGTCAGTCAACAGCGGCCTCTGGTGGACTTACGCAAGAAGAGCAAGCGGGAATGGCACTCGCGAGAGAAATTTGAGATCTCAAAAAGCATTCACAGTTGTCTCTGGTGGATTTGCAAAAACAAAAACGTAGCTCCTGGGATGTATTTGGTGCTCTCCAGAAATGTATATAGGGGTACGTAATCAGAATGAGCCTGGATTGTGAATAACCTTCCTTGCATATTTTAGTTCATCAATGTTCAAAGTCTTTCTGAGAACAACAGCAACACACAGCATGTCATAATGAAATATCATCTTCATTAAGCCTGTTTTATATTCAGTCTTCAGTTCTGACAGTACTGTGCTGGACTGATTTATCTTTCTCAGAGGGAAGAATTTAATGGCCATTAGGGGCTCTTACCAGTTTGAGACCAGATCAAGAAACGCTGTCTTACAGTTCACAATAATCACCTAGTCTTTCTCTACAGATTACTGCTTGATTTCCTAGTTTATGACGTGCACAAAACAACACTTAAATGGTAATTCAATAAATGTCCATGGCCATAGGTATACTCTAGAAAGCGGGGGACATATAATAAGATGCATGATCCTGGTTCATAAATATTCATTAGATGACAGATCATTTGTCATCTAATTAATATTCAGTAGTCTTAAATAAAAGGTTAGTAAGTGAGCACTAGTGGGATTTCAGAGATATTTTTACATTTCTGTGATATACATATGGCTGCACGGTGGCGCAGTGGGAAGCACGTTCGCCTTACAGCAAGAAGGTCGTTGGTTTGAGCCTCGGCTGGGTCAGTGGCCTTTCTGTGTGGAGTTGTTCTCCTTGTGTTGGAGTGGGTTTCCTAAGGGTGCTCAGGTTTTACATGCTAAAATTGATTTTGTGCTCATCTCTTCTCGTCATAATTTTTCCCCACAGTTTTTCTCCGCCTGAAGAATTACGTTTTTATTTCATTTTCGTGGTCAAATTTCCCAAAAAAAAACAGGCATATAAATGGGACAGGCAATGACGCAAAGGCATGGTGGCTGTGTCTGTGCACGCATTCTTGTGTTGAACGGTCGGTCTTGCAGGTTACCTTGGAGGAACAAACTCGAACCGCGAGAACACAATGAGAAATGAGATGCAAGGAAGCAAGGAAACGGCTCGCACCACTAGTGGGTTGTGGGGGCCCGCTAGTGGCGGCAGGGCCCTAAGCAGCCACTTAGTTTGGTTTTAGCAGGCGTGCCCAAACTCGGTCCTGGAGGGCTGGTGTCCTGCACATTTTAGTTCCAACCCCAATTAAACACACCTGAACCAGCTAATCAAGCTCTTTATAGATACTGTATGTAAAACTTCCAGGAAGGTGTGTTAAATGTAGTTGGAGCTAAACTGTGCAGGACACCGACCCTCCAGAACCGAGTTTGGATACCCCTGGCTTATAGGGAGGACCGACATAACTTTATGGTGGAACATGATAACGTTGTTATTTGGTTGATTTTAGGTTGGACATTGGACATTGTTGTTGGCCTGTCGTTGGGGTCTGACGTCAACCCGATTTTCACTTCCAAACAAAATCCAATGTCCCCACAATGTTGGGGTACATTGGAGTACAACGTCAATATGAGATCATGTTGGAATCCTGTACCTGCAGGGTAGTTTCACAGCAAACAAAGCAGTGCATTACTTGCACAACTTGCAGTGCACATCTTCTGAGAGCTGAACATGAGCGCTTTTCTATGTGTGTCTTTCTAGGTTGAAGATCAGGAAGAGACTCTAGTGAAGATGCAAGCTGATTTTTCAATTTACCGGGCCACTCACATTCACTCGGACTCCGACTACGAATCCCAGCTGTCCCGCGTTCAGGAACTAGAGCACGTGAGTGAACTCCCTTCACTGTAGTTGAGAGAGAAACGTCACACTCAACACTCACATCTGCATGGATCCATCACTGTAATCTCTGCCTGTAACCAAAATGGGCTTTAAATGGACCCACCTGCTCCCTATGTCATGTGTTACTGTATGCATTGACACCGCAGCAACTCGGGGACTATTTATCAGTCATGAGCGGAGCCTTTGATTGAATCCGGAGAGGCTTCGCGCTAGTTCATGGGCACCTTTGTGACTAATTGTTTGTTATGTCAGCTTGGCAGCCAGCCATCCAGCTTTAATGGAGTGTAGTGGAGCGATCCATCAGGCTGTCGGAGAGCTCACACGTCAGCCCGAGTGTCAGCTCTTCGCGGCGCTCTACGCAAACGGCGACGTGATTTAGTGCCCTGCTCGCACCGCTGCCCACCCGCTTCCCTTCCTCAGATTGATCACCCTCTAGTCCCGCTGACAGTGCCCGCCATCTTCTGGTAACCTTTTAGCTGCGTTTTATAGATGATTCCAGCACCTCGTTTGGCTATTTATACATCTGTAAGTGGCCATGAAATATAGATTTGTCTTGACACATGCTGGCGTTGGAGTCCCAGTGCCCCGTGTGACATGTCGTTATTTTAACGATGCCAAACCAAGGGCCCCAACTTTGCCCGTGTTGGCTGCTTATGCCTCTATTTTATTACACTTTTAAAACTCTTATTTAAAAAAGGTCCTTTTTAAGCATCTGTGGTACCATAACCCTGCTGAAAAATCCAGCTTAAAGCAGCCTAGGCTGGTTGGCTGGTTTTAGCTGGTCGACCAGCCTGGTTTTAGAGGGGTTTTGGCCACTTCCAGGCTGGTTTCCAGCCATTTCCAGCCTGGTCTTAGCTGGTTAAGCTGGGAGATGACCATCTAATACCAGCTTGACCAGCCTAGCCAAGCTGGGAGTCCAGCCAAAACCAGCTATATCAAGCTTTAACCAGGCTGGTCAAGCTGGTTTTAGCTGGATTTGGCTGGTCATTTTCCAGCCTGTCCAGCTAAGACCAGGCTGGAAATGGCTGGAAACCAGACTGGAAATGAACAAAACCCCTCTAAAACCAGGCTGGTCGACCAGCTAAAACCAGTCAACCAGCCTAGGCTGGTTTAAGCTGGATTTTTCAGCAGGGAATCAAACATTCATGAAAGCTTTTCAATCCTCAAGATGTTTTAGTATGTTCTTCATACTAACAAATATTAACAAACATGTTCATTGAAAGCTTATTTGAATATAGAGTGGAGGAACTATGACGTCAATTTGTATCCAAAAGCACGGAAGCGAGTTAGCGATTTAGCAGTTACGGTTCCCTCGTCTCAAAGTCAATGGGTTTTTTTCAGTGGGATTTTGTTTAAATCGCTTAAGGTTTGTGGCAAACACGAACTCAAGATAGTTTTATGTTTTATTCTACGACCTCAGTTACATCACACACTTGATTTTTTAAAATTGGTTGCCCTTCTTTAAAAAGCTGGTTGCTATCAAGTTGCTAAATGGGACCACAGGCGGTGTCGGAGACATTATACGTCTTCAAGCTGTTCTGGTCTTAAAACACACCTTGCTTGTGTTGGACATTAAGATCTGTCTATTCTTTAAGTATTTTCATGAATATTATTTTATAGTTTGTAGTATTTTTCTAATTGGAAATTCTTGTAAACAATTCCTTCACTTGTAAAGACTGTCAAGACAGATTAATATGTTGATTATTTATTTTAATTAACAATATCATGGAGATACTGCTTACCAGAGCAGCCTGACTCTTTCCTGCTCTCAGTAATGGAAACGTGTGAATAAATGAGTAAAAATACAGACATATTAACTGTCATTTTAAAGTGATCAATTGATTTTTTTTCTTCATCTGAACTTATTTGACTGTCTATATTGAACTGCAATATTTACACTCCTTCATAAAATGTATAACATACGTGACTGCACTGGCTGCTTTTTGCTGTACTTCGTGACACAAAAGAGTATTGAATATATAATATTGAGTATTGTTCTGTGTCTATGATGGAACTTGGAGGCATGTAGACTTGCTGCTCATGCCTCATTTCTGTCGTCTGTTACTAAGGAAAGCAGGCCGTATGCACGCGAGCGATACTTTGAAGGCACATTTATACATACAGTTTTAAAACTTTTACCACAACCGTAAAGCAAAATAAACATGCATTTCCTGCATAAAAAGGCACATAGGTCTATTAGTTTTTTGCGTATTTATTTGTTTATAACATATAGCCTGGATTATAATATAAATAAACAGAGAGATCACATCTTAGTCATAGACCATATTTTTAAAAAATAAGCCTGAAAAGTTGTCTGTAGCAGCGTGGTGCTGACGTCACAGGCGAGCGCCCTGAAGGCACTGTAGTCCGCCTATAGCCTAATGTTAGCCTTTCAATTCTTGGGTTTGCATTTAGGATCCAAAAGTGCTAAAAGATGTATTTTCGTGGGAGGGTTATCCGGCTGGACAAAATGTGTAAGTGTAATGAACAGTGTTTAAACACAGAGCTTATTTGCAATCTTCGAAAAGCCTATGGGATAATCCTATATGGATTTTATCGAGGGAACCAGTTTTATACTAGCATCCGATTAGCCTATTAGGCCATAGTTCCTCCACTCTCTTACGCTGATCTACACTGAACACCAACTTTAAAAACTGGACTGAAGCAGTTCAATTTAGCAGCTTTGACACAATCTACATTGTAAAAGCGCAATTGGAACAAAGATTAGATGAATTTGAGGAACTCAAAACTTCCTATATGGCATGGGTGGTCAACTACGGCCCTGAAGAGCCTGGGGGCATATTACAGAAAGTCTCTTATCTTAGGTCTTATCTTAAGTTATGATGCGTTCAATTAATTTTAGAGAAAAGGCGGTTCATTCTGCTGTAGTGACCTCTGAAATAGAGACTAGGCTGAAGAAAAATGAATGAATAAATATTGCAGAAGAGAATCTTAAACTTGATTTGGGATTCTTATCCTATCTTACAGGGTTGCGTCTTATCTCTTGTTATTAAATCTTACATTTTGTCGTCAAGTCGGCCACAGCCATATCACCCTGCAGCTCAAGACTGCTTACTCACTGAAGCTAAGCAGGGCTGAGTGTGGTCAGTACCTGGATGGGAGACCACATGAGAAAGCTAGGTTGCTGTTGGAAGAGGTGTTCCTCTTCCAAGCAACCACTCTATCAAGCAACCAACACTTCATAAGATGCTAATGAGTTAGCTTAAACAAAATGGATGAAAAAAATATGTAATGTACCTATACATGTGTACGTACCCGGTAATACCCTGTGGCCCTTTGTTGGGCTTTGTAATGCAGGCTGTTGTTCCTGTAATATCATTTCAAGAGTTCACACTTAGATATTGTTTAAGCAATGGTAGCAGGTTTGGCATGCTGTCCTGGGAGAGAACCCTGGGCTCCCGCCTGATCGATTTAGAATGAAGGGGGAGTACGAGATCAGGTAGTTCTCGAGAGCTCCCCCATGGTAAAGAAAGAAAGCGGGAGATGGGGTGGATGGGGGGTTTCTTCGGAAACCGAAGATAAGGGATTATTTTTTAGCTGGGCTACTTATAGTAAGTTTGGATTAATCTGATTGGCTAACTATTAATCGTAGATGAGAGACATGCTGCGGTCAATCATATCACATGCTCCTCTCGAAATTAATTTGTGAAACTTTATGTTGGGCGGTAGTCTGTAATTGGACTTCATAGGGTTTGGTCATGGAAAGTAACACAAATTATTCAGGGTCCTCCAAAAGTCTATTCTACCATTAAATATCTTCATTTCTCATTCATTCATTCATTTTCCTTCATCTTAGTCCCTTATTTGTCAGGGGTCGCCACAGTGGAATGAAACACCAATTATTCCAGTATATTTTTAATCTTTCTCACCGCATGTCTTTGGACTGTGAGGGAAACCGGAGCACTCGGAGGAAACCCGCGCAAACACGGAGAGAACATGCAAACTCCACACAGAAATGCCAACTGGCCCAGCTAGGACTTGAACCAGTGACTTTCTTGCTGTGAGGCAGCAGTGCTAACAACTGAGCCACTGTGCCACGCCATTTCAGTCATCAATAATTGTAATACCAATGTTGGACAGAGCAATTGTTAGCTTTTTTCCCCTCAGCTTTCAAATGATTGAGTTACAGTAGAATGTTTTGGTAATAGCACCTTCCTATCTGTAATTAGATAACATGGTAATCGAACAGGTTGGGTAACATTTTAAAGTTAGGACCTTTCTGTAACACATCTGCAGAGTTCACCCCAACCCTAATCAAACACACCAGAACAAGCTCAAGGTCCTAAGAGTTAGCAGAACGCTACATCCAGGTCAACTTTTAATCAAAATTAAATCAAAACTCTACATGATAGTAACTTGACCATCCTCCTGTACCATGACATCACTACACACTTAATATTTTGCGAAAATGTAGCAATTGCGAAATCAGATCTCGCTAAAACCTGACTCGTTTGCATACTGCAGACATGAGTGCATGTTACCCTCACCATCCCGGAGATGCTGTTTCACCTGTCAAAAGGCGTGATGTGCAACCTGGTAGCCAGGGTAATTAAGAGATGGCACCCACACACACACACACCGCATCCCAGAGATGTAATTGAATGGTTAGCACGTCAAAGGTGCAGGCTTCAGGATTGGAGGCGACAGCTGTCATGGACAAAAACCGCGGATGTTTCCTCAGCAGGCGTATATATGTACGGGCCACAGCAGAGATGCTAAATGAAGGCCAGATGGGAGCGGAATGGAGCTGAAGAGGCGAGCGGATACAGCGATAGCCTTAGGGATGGAGACAGTTCGGGGAAGTGGGGGAATTCTTATCTGCCTTAGGTCACCCCCTCCAGCGCCCCAGGCATCAACACGACTCCCCCAAGGCACAGTCACAGAAGTTTGACAGCTGTGTGACGACTTTGCATGTTAGTGGAGGTGTGTGTGTTTGTCCTTAGGCACTGTTCCAGTCGCTGGAGCGTTGTGGTCACAGTGCCCAGGAGTTGCGGGTCTGCCAGCTGGAGATGGCACGACATAAAGATTGCAGTCCGGCGGGTGAGTGAACTTACGGCTTACTTTTATAATTGACACTTTGCAAGGCCCAACACCCCCCCACCCCCCTTCTCACTATCCAATCAGCCATGGTGCTCGCCAATCAATTAGTGCACTCTCTAGGGAAATAGTGAATCATTTCTGTACAAATGACGTGAAGTTTCGAGAGGATCACATGCTTATGATTGACCACAGCGGGTCCTGCACTAGCTGTGACATGACATACCAATCAGATCCAAACACACATAAATAGATGGATTTTAGTTTGACTATTTTGACTTTTTTTGCCGTTTATTATTCCTAGTCATTTTTCCCATAGGCAACTAATGTCCCTATAGTGTTTCATCTCAAAATAATGTTTCAAGAGTTCACACTTAGATATTGCTTGACAACTGTTAGCAGGTTTGGCATGCTGTCCCGGGAGAGAACCCTGAGCTCGGAGATAGTTGAGCCCAGGGCTCCCGCCAGGTCCATAGAGCATGTGAGGGGAGTACGAGATCAGGTGGTTCTCGAGAGCTCCCCTTTTTAAAGGAAGAAAGGAGGAGAAAGGGGGTGGATGGGGGGTTTCTACGGAAAACGAAGATAAGGGAGTAATATCTAGCTAGGCTACTTATAGTGGGTTAGGATAGATCTGATTGGCTAACTAATGAGTGTAGATAGGTGGCCAGCTGCAGTCAATTATATCACGTGCTCCTCTCGAAATGAGTTTAAAAACTTCACTTTATAACTCTTTGAAACTGCCCCTTTAAGACTTTGATCCTAATTGTGCAATTTTTGGTGACTGTCACTTTAAATTTAAAGGTTAGCATAAATCTTTGAATCACAGTCCCTCCCCTGCCGTCTATAGCCTCCTAGAACACGAGCACAGCAAAAGAACCCTCTCTCATGTGTTAAAAGCGACTAGTGCTTGTCCGGCGGCGTGCAAGCCAAACTGACATGCGATTTCAGAGTGAATATTAGAGTTGCATAGTAAACAATATAGGGAGAGACTAGGCAGAATAGCGGTATTTACTTGTGTTTTGTTGTTAAACTAATTAAAATCTACATTATCGATGCTGTAAAAGGTCCCTTATGAAACTGAAAATAGTCTTATGTCTTTCATTGGAAGATTTTAGTGGCTGAACAACACTTCTGTGAAGATATAACCCATTTGTAGCAACAACATCTAACGTTACATCAGCTCTGCGTGAAGCTAAAACAGAACATTACCTGTCTAAGAGACATCCTTTAGCCATTGTGTCATCCTTTCTCCAGCGTGCAAAGGTAACTCCAATATTGATTCAGGTTTTTAAAATGTTTTGATTCAGCATGTTTTTACCGGTCGCGCACGCGTGCCCTCTCTCGTGAACGTGCGGCAGTCGTCGAAGCTGCATACAAAAGGCTGCGTAGTTGTTCAAATCTGCATTTGCTGACAGACAGGCTGGGCTACTTATCGGAATTATGAGAGGTGTCGGTCCGACTCTATTTAATTGGATGAACATTTTTTAGTTTTATGCCTTACCCAAAATATAAAAATACATATAAATACATTTAGATCAGTTACTGTAATCATTACTATTAGACTGTGAAGAGACTTTCAACCAGCACAACAAAAAATGCTTCTGAAGTCAATCACCTACTGCACCTTTAAGTGAGATTGTGATTCCAGCCCTCTTTTTAAAACAGGGTGGAACTACAAATACCAATGTGTCAGCACAGCAGCAGATTCAAAAACAAGACTTACTTCTAATGCTGTGTTCACACCAGACGCGAAACGCGCGGATAAATCGCACTATTCATGAACATTTGAGTTTACTCGCTTCATTCGCGCATCAAACCCCGCTTCATTCGCGTGTCAAATTCACTTCAGAGCAGACGCGGATTCGCGTGATGGGCAGGGCTTCTGTCTGCCCGAAGACTCTAGCTTTATAGCTAAATGGCTAACATGGATTTTATGAAGAAAATAACAGTGTTTATGTGCTTTATGAAGACTGATAAACAGCGTCGATACGTTTAGGGTTGTGTCTGAGTCCACTACATCCTTTCAGAGGTGCATCCAGCTCTGTGAGCTCATAAACTCCTCCAGAAACTTAACCTGGATGACGGAGGCTTTCAGCGGTGCTTCTGACTGAGCCAAGCTGAGTTTGATGAACTGTTGTCAGTGAAGGCTGGAGGATTTCCCTCGGAACACCGACAACAGGTTCTACGTCACAATCACGCCCCCACAAGAGCAAGCTTCTGATTGGTTAACGCGGCGCGAATGTACGCTGAAGTTCAGATTTTCGAATTTGAGAGATTTGCGCGAAACGCTTGTTAAGCGCGTCAAACGCGCAAAACACACAATTAGCCCCGCGCCATTCGCGCAGGATGTCTATTCGCGCGTTTGCATTGACTTAACATGTAAATCACTCGCGCTTGACGCGTCTGGTGTGAACGCAGCATTATGCAAATGAGGGTGAGATCATCACTAATGGGTGGGGCTTTGCCATCTACTAAGGGAGAATGTCACTCAAAGTGTTTCTGCAGACTGTTTTTATGAAGTGTGATTATAAAAAATACTATTTATATTCTTCTGTCATCAGAGGCTGGTTATATTCACAGACTGTTGCCACAAAATTGTGTTTTAATTCCTTATGAAATTAATTTTGCATAATAGGTTCCCTTTAAATGCACCAATGTCTATATTCATAGAGAAATGAATGAAAGTATAATTTTCAAACAGGGGTGTACTCATTTCCTGTAAATCAAAAAACAATTTCTTGACGACTAAAGCTGGTTGTGATTGTTACTGGACTCTCACACTGATAGCAAGCATGTATGTGTGTGTGTGTGTGTGTGTGTGTGTGTGTGTGTGTGTGTGTGTGTGTGTGTGTGTGTGTGTGTGTGTGTAGAAGAGATGCAGCGACTGCAGGAGCAGCTGAGGAAGCTCCAGGCAGACGCAGCAGATGAAGTCCACAGACAAGCACAAGTTGATTCTCTGGAGCAGAAGGTTGCCAATCTGGAAGGAGAACTGCAGGCTGCTCAAAGGCAGTGCGACCAGGTAAACAAGTACACACACACATAAACAGACACAGCGCAGATCAAAAAGGCTTTGCCTGTGGCTGACTCTTATAGACATTCTCTCTCAGGCTATCCAAAAGAGAGACGCCCTACTGAGACAGTCCGAGGCTGATCTTCTGCAGGCTCGGGACAAGATCCGAGGCAGGGCGGCGGAGGCTGAGAGGCAGGCGGCGGCTGCTCGAGGGCTGGAAGCTGATCTGCAGAGAGCCAAGAAAGAGAAAAGGCAGAAGGAGAAAGAGTGCGCCTCCCTCAAAACACAACTGCTTCAGCTCAGAGAACAACTGAAAGAGGCCAACACCACCTGCAGAGACACCGGTAACACACACTGGCAAACAAATGCTGGCTTCCACACAATCGATTTGTATACTGGCACAACATGAAGGAATTAGGTTGACTTAGTAGTTTTTACTAATTTAAGTTGATTGATTATAACACTATATAACCCCAAATACAGTTTTTCTCAGTCGCTTTGGTGCTTTTCTCACAACACTAGTGCATTTCTCAAAACAATTAGTGCATTTCTCAAAACAATTAGTACAAATTGCAAAACCTAGCTGATAACCTGCAAAAGTGCATCACATGCTTAAAATGAATAGTTCATTCCTTACAAGCAAGTATTCATGTCAATCAAAGTGTCAGTATTATCAAAATGAAAAGTCCTGACACCATTTTTTATGAACAAGATAGTCAAATGGCTTTGTCATGTTTTCATTATGACAGTTTACTCTGGACATTATTTCAATGCAAAAAAGTCAGATATTGGTGACACTTCCTGAAAATGCTCAAGACAGCTCTTTATACTACTGTATTTGCACAACTATTTGAAAACTACAGCAAAGTTGGACATCACTGTATTTAGTGAGCTATCTGAGTACAAGACACTGAATATGAATGTTTCACATTTCTACTGCATTTGCTCTTCGCAATTCGAATTTTTTCACAGAATTGTGCAAAAGAATAAATACATCCTTATTTACAACAAACATACAGTTTTTCTCAGTCCCTTTGGTGCGTTTCTCACAACACTATTGCATTTCTGCACAACAGTTAATGCATTTCTCTAAACAGTTAGTACAAATTGCAAAACCTAGTTGATAACCTCCAAAAGTGCGTCACATGCTTAAAATTCGATAGTTCATTCCTTAAAAGCAAGTATTCATGTCAATCAAAGTGTCAGTATCATCAATTACTCTGGACATTTTTTTAATGCAAGAAAGTCAGATGTTGGTGACACTTCCTGAAAATGCTCAAGACAGCACTTTATACTACTGTATTTGCACAACTATTTGAAAACTACAGCAAAGTTAGACATCACTGCATTTAGTGAGCTATCTGAGTACAAGACACTGAATATGAATGTTTCACATTTCTACTGCATTTGCTCTTCGCAATTCTAATTTTTTCACAGAATTGTGCAAAAGAATAAATACATCCTTATTTACAACAAACATACAGTTTTTCTCAGTCCCTTTGGTGCGTTTCTCACAACACTACTGCATTTCTGCACAACAGTTAATGCATTTCTCTAAACAGTTCTCTAAACAGTACAAACTGCAAAACCTAGTTGATAACCTGCAAAAGCGCGTCCCATGCTTAAAATGGATAGTTCATTCCTTAAAAGCAAGTATTCATGTCAATCAAAGTGTCAGTATTATCAAAATGAAAAGTCCTGACACCATTGTTTATGAACAAGATAGTCAAATGGTTTTGTCATGTTTTCATTATGACAGTTTACTCTGGACATTTTTTCAATACAGTAAAGTCAGATTTTGGTGACACTTCCTGAAAATGCTCAAGACAGCACTATATACTATTTGCACAGCCATTTGAAAACTACAGTAAAGTTAGACATCACTGCATTTAGTGAGGTATCTGAGTACAAGACACTGAATATGAATGTTTCACATTTTTACTGCATTTGCTCTTTACAATTCTAATTTATTCACAGCATTGTGCAAAAGAATAAATACATCCTTATTTACAACAAACATAAACTTGCACAACTGTAAACAATATTGCAGAACATATTAGAACTGAACCTACAACATACACAGATCTGTAAATCATTCATGAAATTGTTACATTTTTAAGACATTTTCAGGAAAATAAAGATTTTGACAACTAGTTCATCATTTGTGTATGTAATGACTCAAGTAATGAAATGAGGACTGTTAGTTTTATATGCAATGACTATTCAGCATTTACAAGTTTAGTTAATTTTGACTGACATGACATAAGTAAATGATAATGTTATAAATAGCAGAGAGTTGTATGAAAGCAATTGATGCTTGTCCAAAAGCATTTGCAATTTGTTGGAAGGAATGAGTAACTGCTACTAGGATGTGCACAAATGACTAATTGTTTTGAGAAATACATGACCTGTTGTGCAAATGTAAATAGTGTTGTGAGAAATGCACCACAGCAACTGAGATAAACTGCAAATATCCAATACGATAAATAATTATCCAATATATATATATGGATGGATGGATGGATGGATGGATGGATGGATGGATGGATGGATGGATGGATGGATGGATGGATGGATGGATGGATGGATGGATGGATGGATGGATGGATGGATGGATGGATGGATGGATGGATGGATGGATGGATAGATAGATAGATAGATAGATAGATAGATAGATAGATAGATAGATAGATAGATAGATAGATAGATAGATAGATAGATAGATAGCATAATACCTTAACAGATAACCTAAACTTAACATAAACTGTAAACATATTTCTTAATTCTGATTGGAATTAAGTTACAGAATCAACAGATGTTATTCCAGGAACATGTCCTACTTGGTTAAATCTGGTTGGCATAATTGCACTGTAAGATTAACAGATTTAATTGAGACATTTTTGCTTCTACATATAAATACTGATAAATATGCACATGTGAAGAGCAACAAACATGGTGACAAGAAGCTCTTATGGGTTTTTTTGCCCCACAAGAACAAACCATGAAAATGCATGCTCGTCCACTGGGTCATTTTAGCACAGCTGTGATTTTTTCCTCGTGATTTTGCGAAAGAAAAGCAATTTAAATCTGTGTGATGGAGCACGTGCGTGCACCTGTTTGTGTTCTCCTGCAGTCTGAGTGTCCCGTCTGAAATGAAACAGCCCATCAATTCAGAGCCTCAAGCCATCAGATACACACTCTACTGTGGGAATGATGCTCATTAAAAACTACATCCTCATCCCAGATGAACAGGGGCAGATGTAGCCATAGTAAACCATGCAATGGGATTAGTGTGTTTTTTTAATATAGGCTTTATCATCAATAACAAAAAAAGAAAAACATGAAATTCTAAATGTTGCCGTCAATTTTATTTCTTTTATATTCAGCAAAAAAAAACTAAAATGCATGAGTTTTCCCATTCAGAACTTTCTGGAAGTGTATTGTTCAGGGATGGTCTGTGTGTTTCAGGCCAGGAGCTGATGCGGCAGCAGGAGAAGCTGCAGCTATTGGAGGGAGGTCAGCGTCTGACTCAGGATCAGCTCTCAGAGCGGGTGGCAGAGCTGCTGGAGGCTGAAAAAGCCCACAGAAAACTCCAGGCTGAGCTCAAGAGAACCACAGACAGTCTGGAAAACACCCAGCTGGAGCTGCAGGACTCACGGTAAACTCACAACCAGGAGGCAAGCTGCCCAGCTACCAAAATATTCTTACAACATTTCATAACGTTTTATAAATGTTTGCGTATAACATTACTGAAATAATATTATGGGAACATTCTCGTAAAGTTGATAGGACGTTTTTTTAGATGTTAGTATGAATATGTTAGTCTTAAGGATATCTTTAAGCGCCAAAACATGGACAGGGTAACAGGGACGATGAGATATAAACATCCAAAGCTTGCAGTTTTCCACTTTTGCCTAAATTAATCAAATTTATTTTCACGTGGGGCGTCACGGTGGCGCTGTGAGTTGCTCAATCACCTCACAGCAAGAAGTTTGCTAGTTCGAGCTTCAGCTGGGTCAGTTGGCATTTCTGTGTGGAGTTTGCATGTTCTCCCCATGTTGGTGTGGGTTTCCTCCGGGTGCTCCGGTTTCCCCCACAAGGCCAAAAACATGTGGTACAGGTGAATTGGGTAAGCTGAATTGTTTGTAGTGTATGAGTGTGAATGGATGTTTCTTGGTGATGGATTGTAGCTAAAAGGGCATCCACTGCGTAAAACATATGCTGGATAAGTTGGCGGTTCATTCTGCTGTGTCGACCCTAGATTAATAAAGGGACTACGCCAAAAAGAAAATGAATTAATGTATTTCTGTTATAAAAACACCTCAATCTGCTTTAAAGAGCCCGTATTAGGGGGTTTTAAAAAATAAGCTTCCATGCAGTGTGTAACACAACTCTAGGTAAATGAAAACATCCAGCTGAGATTTAAATCTGAAAGTGCAGCATGCAAAACTATTGATTCTTTAGTAAAATATTTGACTCAGAGTTGAATAAATGAATCGAGTTGGCTTCGGATCTTTTGTTTGATCGCATCGACTGTACATCCGGGTGGTACATCACCAAATATGTAGTTCCATTTCCGGTAAAATGTGCACGCGCTTTCCCTTCACACACTAGCGTAGGCGCGAGGGATCACGGGACTGATAATGATGCAAGGATGACAATCACTGACAGATGGAGATTCGGCTTAGGGGACTAAAGGGTTAAAGTTAATTTTACAACAATACCACAGTATAGCCAACCTAGTGCTGTGAATGTTAATGTCATTTTTCAGATTTTTGGTATAAAAACTTACGCTGCAATGCGGGATTCATCGGCTGTTTGCTATTGAAGGAGCAGCAGAGACTATAGGAATTTGTCAGGCTTTGACAGGGACTTTGTCAGTAACTTTTACAGTTCATATGGACCAGAAAAGAAAATTATTGAATGAATGAATGTTTTAAATAAAGCTCTAAAATGTTAAAATACCTTAAATGATGCAGACCTAAATGTTATGAAATCATTTTGAATGGTCTTATTATAACAAAAAAAAAATACTTTCAGGCTTTAAAACGTTCTAAGAACATTAAAATAAAAGCGTTACATAGGCTTGGTCGGTATCCAAATTTTAATACCATCAAAACTTCTCCCTATTTTATATCGGTGTCCGGTATTACCGTGCATACTAAAAAAAAATTATGACGAAACTTGGCTTGTGCCTAAACCATTCAGAAAGTGAATATCGTAAATGCAACCTTAGGTTTGCGGTCATCTGTTTATCTTGTTCGTATTAGAGATCTGTGGGGACGCTCTCTCTCTTTCACACACACAAGCACCCACACATGCACACACGCACACAGAGAGAGAAAGAGAGAGAGACAGCACCATGCTCTCCCTCTCTCATTCCCACACACACATAAACAGCATCCACGCGGATGCGCGCATGCTCGCTCGCTCGGGAGTGATATTGTTAGACCGACCGCTCAAGTGTTTTATTCAGAAATTTATTCCCGCACCGCAAGAAATCTGGTCCGGTACCGCAGCTACGGCGGTACAGCAGCGGGAATGCAGACCTCTAGTTCGTATTTACCACGTCTCCCTTCTCGTTCGGTCAAAACCAGAAATACTGCCTAACTGCAGGTCACTTGGTGCACGACTCGCCATCTTACCTCACCTCTCTCTCTTTCTCCTCCACATTGTCCGGTGATGACAATCACACATACACATTTATAGGCATTAAATAAATAATATTTATTATTTAATACTTGTCTGCTATTTAAGTGCATTGTTTTTTATGATGGTATAACGTTATTGAAACTGACACTGTTGCTATTTTTAGATCCCGCAGTATACCATATTACCGTATTACCACCCAAGCCCAGCGTTACAGTATATTATGTAATTAAAGCAAAGATGGCAGCTGATTTCAGACTTGCATATTGACTGCTGTCTGTTTTCCAGTGTGCTTGAATGCGGCTTGAGTGATAAGTTGGACAGACAGCTTTCCAGACTCACTTCCTCAGGATGACACTTTCATATCACACTCATATTAAGACTGCTAGTGAAGCTATGAGCCGATTAATCCAAAATTCTACGCTTTATACTGCCTTCGAGTCATGTCTGAATGATCGTATTTACCAGATGAGCGCACATGAACGCCACCACAATGCCAGTATTACCAGTAGAGAACTCTGGATTTTCTCTGAGCCCTACTTTCTGAGTTTAAGGCAGGTATGTTTTTGGAATATTTCAGTGTGCTTTGTGGATGACAGTTGCTGATCACAGAAAAATATATATATTTATGGAGATTTTAAATAAATGAAATATTTCTTACCACATTTTTTTTGATTCCCTATTACAACATGGTAATCGAGTACAGCAGCCATCTCCCTTTAAAAATTCCATTCTTAATGACTTGTGTTCACTACCTAGGACATATCAAATAAATAACTTGAGCATGTGATGCATTTCAACGAGTGTGATATTAAAACTGGTCAATTATATATTAACATGAAATGTATAATGAATTATGAATGTCCATGAATATATATAATCGAAATGTATTATATAGAATTGTATTTAATTAGAGAAAAACGTATTAAAAGAATAGTTCACCCAATGAAAATTACCCTTTAATTTACTCACTCTCAATCCATCCTCTGCGTCTGTCAGACGACTTCTGTCAGATGTATGAGGATAACTAAACGCCAGTAATTAATTGAAAGTTGATAAGTCAATAATTTTTTTTTTTTTTTTTTTGCGCAGACATATTTGTTTTAACTAGAGTACATCGTCATCCTCCTCATCATGCGTCATACGCCGAGTTACAGGTCAGCCAAGAAGTTGTCAAGAACATGCATTTGTCAGCCGGAAGTCAGTGACTTGAGTTTATTTAAATATTGTATTTCTGTGGTGTCACAGGGGCGCAGTGGGTAGCATGATTGACTCGCAGCAAGAAGGTCACTGGTTCGAGCCTCAGTTGGGTCATTTGGTATTTCTGTGTGGAGTTTGCATTTTCTCCCTGTGTTTGTGTGTGTTTCCTCCGGGTGCTTGGTTTCCCCAACAGGCCAAACACATGCGTATAGGTGGTCGTAGTGTGTGATGTATGATTAAGTGTGTATGGATGTTTCCTAGTGATGGGTTGCAGCTGGAAGGACATCCGCTGCGTAAAACATATGCTGGATAAGTTGGCGGTTCATTCCGCTGTGGCAACCCTAGATTAATAAAGGGACTTCGCCGAAAAGAAAATGAATTAATGTATTTCTGTTATAAAAACACCTCAATCTGCTTTAAAGAGCCCATATTAGGGGGTTTTAAAAATAAGCTTCCATGCAGTGTGTAACACAACTCTAGGTGAATGAAAACATCAAGCTGAGGTTTAAATCTGAAAGTGCAGCATGCAAAACTATTGATTCTTTAGTGAAATATTTGACTCAGAGTTGAATAAACGAATCGAGTTGGGTTCGGATCTTTTGTTTGATCGCATCGACTGTACATCCAGTACATATGGTACATCATCAAATATGTACTTCCATTTCCGGTAAAATATGCACGCGCTTTCCCTTCACACACTAGCGGAGGCGCGAGGGATCACAGGACTGATAATGATGCGAAGATGACAATCCCTGACAGATGGAGATTCGGCTGAGGGGAATAAAGGGTTAAAGTTAATTTTACAACAATACCACAGTATAGCCAACCTAGTGCTGTGAATGTTAATGTCATTTTTCAGATTTTTGGTATAAAAACTTACGCTGCAATGCGGGATTCATCGGCTGTTTGCTATTGAAGGACTTACTAACTTTGTCAGTAACTTTTACAGTTCATATGGACCGGTTTCTTCTTCCTCGGGATCATAACATGTAAGTGTAATTAAAATTGTTGTCTTGTTTTGTGTAGTTTGCAAAATATGTGTTTAATTGTGTGTTATAAGTTGTAATCATAGCGCGCGGCTGGTAATCACGTATCAGTGTTTGTATTGTATCTCTCAGGTTAAATCTGCATGTGGCTCTTCACATATCGCATCCAAAACCACGGTAAAAACGTGACGCGTGCTTTACCATTTTAAGTGTGTTTCTGATCCTCTGCTGTTTGCCCAGCAAAAAAATAAGACCCAGACAAGACTCAAACCAGTGACTTCCTTGCTATGAGGCGATCATGCTACCAACTGCGCCACCGTGGCGCCCAGTTCTGACATATGTCTATTTAAATTATACATCCGCTCTCTGTTCAACTTCAGCCAATTCTACACTCTCCCCATCATCCCCAACTCCTCCTAGCTCATTTCTGATATCAGTTCGAAGTATTAACCAATTACATGCTAATCAGACTTGTGTCTCTTGAGTTTACATTACCTCATAATCAATCGTAATTAATAATCACTCTGTCCATCCATGCCTGCATGAACGGGCAGATGGAGTTTTGGCCAAAACAGAACCATCCCACCAATACTAAGTGCATGCTTAATATACAGCGGAGAAAATAAGTATTGAACACGTCACCATTTGTCTCAGAAAACATATTTCCAAAGTTGCTGTTGACTTGAAATGTTCACCGAATTTTAGTAATAAGAAATCCATATATGCAAAGAAAACAAAACTAATTAGTTTACAAATGAAGTAAAAAAAGTGTTGAACACATGAAGAAAGGGAGGTGTAGAAGAGACATGGAAAGCCCAGACAGCAGCTGAAATCTCTCAGTAGTTCAAACCTCTGCCCTTTGTCATTGTAAATAAATATTAGCTGCTTCAGTCCAACATCTACATTATCAGGATGATGAAGATGAAACCAGAGCGGACATTTCAGCAAGACAATAATCCAAAACACAGCCAGGGAGACTCTCAAATGCTTTCATTGAAAGAAAATCAAGCTGTAGAATGGCCTAGCCAATCACCTGACATGAATCCAAAAGAGAATACAAATTAAAGATAAGATTTGATAAATGAGACCCATACCTATTTTTGACGGAAGTGATCCTGACTGAATTACTTTACATGACTATAGTTACAAATCCTTAGGTGAGGCATTCAGCATGTGATTAGGACTCCTACTGGATTCCTAATGAACCAACAGCCCTTACAAATCTTGAGCATGTGCACAAAACAGCCAAGCCTTTTTTTAAACAAAGCTGCAATTCTCTGAACGGTTCAGAGAGTGTTTTTGCCTTCATGACCCTTTTACCTCTCGCTCCTATGAGGTGTGCCGCTCAATGGAGGAATCACAGAGGATCTGGATCCGTGTGTGAAATTAGATGTTTAACTGGCTGGAAGAGGACGAGCGAGCGCATCTTAACTAGCACCTAGCCAAAGGTCTCTTGTTCAGTCAGCCATCCGCCGCTGCTCAGCGCAACTTCCCATCTGCCAATACGCATTACAGAGGATTTAGTAATTAAGTGGTAAGTTGAGGACTAAATTGGGTGTTTGCGGGCCACAGATCTACCCCGAGGTCCCCGCAGCCATGCAGATAGGGGATTCTAATTGCTGGGGATATTGATCATTCCCGGCGAGGGCGTGCTGGGGGATTTCGCAAGCCATCGATTAGCTGTTCCTGTGGCCACTTCGCCAATGGCAGAGAAAGAGGTAAGAGAGCCATGTGGGGCTTTCATGGGATCTCCCAACGCTCGTCACCACCTGAAAAAGCCACACATCACCTAGTCAAACGCTCGCTTCACTGCCCAGACACCATTTTTAGGAGAGTGGACTTGTCTATTGGCTTGTTTGGGTGTAATCTGGAGGGTTGAGGATGTTTGGGTTGGTCAACACCTCTCGCTTCTGCTGCTGGAAGCTTTTCCTTTGCCTTTCCAAGAGTGATTTGTAACACTGCGATGGGTCTGATTTGTTGATCCATGCATGAGCTCATCGTCGCTGGGTTCTCGTAATTAGTTTCATTAAATATTCACGCTTGCCTTCTCTAATTAAATCCAACCCCTCTCTCAAGCTTACCATTCCTGCATGCCCCAATTAAGATGTGTTCTGGTCTGTTTGACTGACTAGTCGAGTTGAAGACGTTTTGCAGTGTACTGAAGTGTCACACTCTCTCATGCCCATACACACTTCCTAATGAAAATAAAAACCCAGCTCTAACCAAGTGTTTCCCAACCCTGTTCCTAAAGGCATGCCAACACTACACATTTTTAACCTCTCCCTAATCAAACACACCTGAATCAACTCATCAGAACTTTAGAAGAGACTCCTAGAACTGAAGTTAACAGGTGAGATAAGGGAGACTTTCAAAATATGTACTGTTGGTGTGCCTCCAGGAACAGGGTTGGGAAACACTGCACTAACCATTGAATAAGTATTGCACCTAGAACATACCTGCCAACACATTTCCTGGGAGTCTCCCGTATTTCAGGCCCATCTCCCGTTTTGTCTCCCAGAAATCTTCTGGAATTTTTAAATTTGTGCTTCAGCCTACATTTTTGTGAAACTGTAAAACATACATAAACTGTCTGATGGCAATATCTAGGTTAAATGAACACAACAGGGCACTCAATGCCAACAACTTTGGTTTCTTTTTACAATAATGATATTTGCAGGAGGAAATAATCAGCCCTTACCTATTTATTATACTACTGAACGATATCATAAAAGAATGCAAACCAGCTTAGCACCCAGTCAACTTAGGAAATTGGCGCATGAACCCAGTACAGCTGACAATTCTGGCATATGCTAATAATGTGGTACTCATGGCGAACTGAGGAGGGGTTGCAACCCAACTTGAATGCACAACTGCAGAAATAAGGTCTGAACATTAACCCAGCCAAAACAGAGTCTATAGTCAAAGGTCCAACACTCCATAAAGCTGGACAACATTGTCTTGAAGCAAGTGGAAGAGTTGAAATACCTTGGAACAGTGTTAAGTCAGGATGGGAAACCTGAAAAGGATCTCAACACGAGGGCACCGCATCTGGCAGACTATTTCAAGCTTTAAACTTAGCCCATCTGGGAAAGAAAGAAATCTCCACCAGAACAAAGCTAGCTGCTATAACTCCACCTATGTGTCTTACCTATGGTTGTGAGTCTTGGGTACTTACTAGCAGCAGGAAGAACAGACTGCAGGCGATGGACCTAAGACAAGTTATTGCAAAAAACTCATAGAGAACGGATAAGGAACCAGACCATCAGGACAAACCTACAAGTCAAACCACTGACTGAAATAATTGACAGGCATAAGATAAGGTGGTTCGGTCATGTCGTGAGGAGGAAAAACCACAGGGTTCCAAAGCAGATGCTTGAGGCAAGAACCCAAGGACATCCAAGAGGCAGGCCTCGAATGAAATAGATGGACTCACTTAACCCAGCATTCCAAAAGATAGGAGTAGACCTAAACTGCACCAGAACAGTGGCTGCAGACAGGAAAAGGTGGCAGAAACTTTGTTCAGCCTCTACACCGCAAGGTAGAAAAGGCCAGGAATAAGTAAGAAAGATATTCGCAGGGACATATCAATGAAAAAAAGGATTATTTTTATGCAGTTCTTTGCACATATCAAGTAAATACAAAAAGTGCCCTAAGTAACGTATTTCAGATTCGCAAAAATGTAGACAGTGCTCTTAAATCTGAAATTTGCAGCAATATTTTACATAAATGTAGGCTAACGAACGTATTTCCATGGAGCCTGGGTTGAAAATGTTAATAATAATAATGATAATAATAATCAAGGAATAGTACCAGTTTCAGAGAATTAGTTTAAAGAGAGAACAGAGTGTGCATTCAGCTGGAGTCCACTTTATATACAATACACTTGATTGCAATTAGAAGGCAATGCATTATAGTTTACATTTATATATTTAATGGAATTAGCAGAACTGGATTTTTTTTATCCAGCTATGTAGACATAAAAATATCTATATGGATTGTGTAGGTTTTATAATAAGCCTTAAATGTTATAATCAAATAATTAAGCTACAGCTATAAATGATGATGAAGTACCTCATGATTAGTATGTCAGTGTACTTATTTAAAGCAGGACACAGGATTGTTACAGTATAGTGAATGTCCATGAGTGGCCCAGCCAGAGCCCAGACCTAAATCCTATCGAACATCTCTGGAGAGAACTGAAAATGGCTGTACACCGTCGCTTCCCATCCAACCTGATAGAGCTTGAGAGGTAGTGCAAAGATAAATGGGCAAAAATTCCAAAAGACAGGTGTGCCAAGCGTGTGGCATCATAATCAAAAAGACTTGAGGCTGTAATTGCTGCCAAAGGTGCATCAACAAAGTATTGAGCAAAGGCTGTAAATACAACAATTTCAAAAAATATTTTTTTACATTGTCAGTATGGGGTATTGTGTGTAGAATTTTTAGGAAATAAATTAATTTAATCCATTTTGGAATAACGCTGTAACATTAAAAAATGTGGAAAAACTGAAGCGCTATGAATAATTTCCGGATACACTGTAAAGTGTTAGTGTTCTGTAGTGCTTAAATAATGAAATAAGCCTCATGTGTTCCTCTACAGGAGTCTCCTGGAGCATCTGAAAGCAGAGGTCAGCAGCAGCAGACAGGATTTGCTCGGCGCTCAACATGAAGCTGCGAAACTCCAGCAGGAGAAACAGCAGATCCGGGAAGAGCTGAACGTCTGCAGAGAGAGCCTCTTAGCCATGCAGTCTAAGGTAAAGCCATTTCACACTCGTCCTGCACTGATTCAGGGCTTTAAACGCTGGCATTATTAAACAAAAGCGCTTCACAAAGCCCCCTCTAAGGTCAAGATCCACCGTATTGATCTGTATCGATCACCGAGTGCCTGAGGAACAGTGCATGCTGAGTGCATGCTCATGTGTACATGTGGATTTGTGGAAAGATCATGAACTCCACATGTCTGTGTGTCTGATATCCAGCATGATTTCAGATAGGCTTGTCTTGTGCTTTAATACAACAGCGTACATTCCAAATAGTTGACTTTACTTAAAAGAGTGAGTAAACCCAGTGGCTTAACATTTTTAAATGAATTATGTGCGTAATTATACAACCCCAATTCAGAAAAGGTTGGACAGTATGGAAAACGCAAATAAAAAAAAGAGAGTAGTGATTTGTAAATTTAGTTTCTCTCGTATTTCACTGCAGACAATACAACAAACATTATTTAATGTGTTTTTCATGATTTTTATTGTTTGTTTGTTTGTTTGTTTTCAAAATCCACACATATTTCAAATTTGGTTCTGGCAAAACCTTTTTAAAAAGTTGGGACAATATTTCAACAAGACAATGCAAAACCACTTACTGCACATATTACAAAGTCCTAGCTGGGGAGGAAGAGGAAACAGGTACTTAACTGGCCTGCCTGCAGTCCCGGCCTATCTCCAATAGAGAATGTGTGGCTCATTTTGAAGTGCAAATTTCGACAACAAAGACCCCGTACTGTTGGCCACCTTAAGACTTGTTGCAGGAAGAATGGGACAAAATTACACCTGAAGCACTCCATCACTTTGTGTCTTTAGTCCCTAAACAACCCTCAAAGTGTTGTAAAAAGGAATGCCAACATTTCAAAGTTGCTCTGATCGATTGGTATTGGCCAATAAACATATTTAAAAAAAGTTTTGTCAATATTTCAACAAGACAATGCAAGTCTTTTTGTCTAAATGTATAGCCCTAAGCCACTACAAATACCCTAAGTTCCATTTAACAGCCATCTTCGTTTTGAAAAATCCCCCCTTCCACCCCTACTCCTTCTTCTTACCTAAACTACCCAACTTTTTCTGATTTGGGGTTGTACATAGTAAAGCCAAGTTAATAGTTATAGGTTACAACAGCTTTACTCCCTATTTAAGTAAACTAATAGCTTTTTAGAGTGTGGACTCAAAAAAAGAGATTTTTGCTGCTTGTTCAAAATTACTTATTTACAATAAGCTTAAACAACACAATACTTGAGATTTGTTTTGGGACAACTTTTTATGTTCAGGCAAAGACTATATATTTCAATAAAGGGGCTTTGGTTCAATCAATTTGTTTTTAACAAAAAAATTTTTTATAAGAGATAATGTGATAAAAATAGCATTAAAGGGCAATCCAGCGGGCTGACAGTCATCCCAGTGGTTCAGTATTATTATTATTATATTATAGGGCTGGGCGATAATTCGATATCGATAATTATCACAGTATAAAATTTTTCGATAAAACGATAATGACAGTTCGATAATTGCTCGATAATATTTTGCCACTATGCGTAACGTTGCGCAAGCATTTTGCAGCCTGCCCTTCCGACTGCCACACAAGTTTACAGCCATACAGTGTTAGTTGCATTGAAAGGAGTAACAAAGAAATAAGGTAAAAAAGGTCAGAATCACAGACATTGTTGACGAGAAACGTCACTAGACTTGAACAAGTAAATGCTGAATTAAGATTGTTCTTTTGTTTATTATCTTATTATTTATATTGTCAGACAGCTAAAACATTTTACTAAATGTGTAAATCAGCTGCACAAAGCCATTGGCATGCTGAAAATCTTATATAATTGATAGATATAAAGATTTTACATTTATCGTGATAAATATCGATATCGACTGATATGAAAAAAAATATCATGATAATTGTTTTTGCCATATCGCCCAGCTCTATAATATTATTACCTGTTATTATTACTTCCAGAGTGTATGTGTTTCCAAAGAGCATCTCACACCTCTAAAATTCACCATGTTTTTATTTCATTTTGTCTTTTTTAGGAAAAAGTCTTCACCAAATCAAATTGTTTTCAATTGAAAAATAACGATATAGTTTAAATGATGTGAACATGTACAAATGAGGAGGAAATGTGATTTTATTGCTTTTCTGGGGTGCTGTAAATATGTTAGTTTGAAGCAGAGCTATTCACTGTGATCATCTGGCTGTAAATTTACTCTTCTATCTTTAGAAATGTTGATAGATCTCATGATGCAAAAGTCTCCAGCTCGGTAACAGTTTCAAATTAATCTCCCTAATCCCAGTTTAATATCTGCCATGCAGGAGTAGAACTCTAATTTATCCAGCCATCTGAACGAATATGTCAGCCGTGGAGCTCTTTCCATATCAGTTTATCTGAGATGCTCTGCTCTATTAGGGGGTCATATCATGAGGATTAAAATGTACCATATTTAAAAGTGTGGTTTAATCTACTGCAAAAACATTCGGTAACTTTTAAAATGCCAAACTCACAGACATTTGTTTCAGGGAAAAATCTGATGTCTGATGTCAGCAAGAATGAATGAATACATTTTTTATTTATAATATATTATTATTTTACTATTAAAATGATTATTATATTCATTCAATCATTCGGCTCAGTCTCTTATTTATCAGGGGTCGCCACAGCGAAATGAACCAACTATTCCCTCATATGTTGTACACATATGTCGGGACTCGAATGAGCAACCTTCTTGCTGTAAGACAACAGTGCTAACCGTGTTGCCCTATTATATTATTCATATCATTATAGTTAATAAAATCTACAGTATTTATTGTTCGTACATTTTGCCTACAAAATAATGGGGAGCAAGCAGAACTTATGCTTCTAAAAGAGAGCTAATAATATTTTTACTTATCCTCCAAATAAACTTTAGTCATCAAAAAAAAATCATTATAATAGTCGGTAACACTTTATTTTGATGGTCCATTTGAGTATTAGTAGACTGTCTGTTTAATATCTGTTGATAATCTGCTCCTTCAACAGACATTTAACTGACTATAACTTTGCAAGTACATGGCAACTTACACAAACCCTGAACCTAACAGTCTACTTATAATCTAACAAGTTGGCATGTAGATGCAATGTAACTTAAATTCAACAAACGGCATCAAGTGGGATCTAATAGTCTGGGGGGAGGGAGGGTTGGGGGGGATTCTCAATGGAAGCTTTAAGTAAAATCTGAATCTAGATATAAATCAAGAATAGTATGTAATTACTTGTCTACAGCAGCAAAACAGAACACTAAATTAAAAAGCTCAACAAATAAAAAGGCATCAAAAGTAATAGAAACACATGCCTGTTTATGTGTGTCTCAGCTGAGTGAACAGGAGAATCTGATAAACCCTCTGCAGCTCCTCAATCTCAGTCTGCAGGAGGAAGGAGTGAAGCTTCAGAAGGAGCTGCAGATCTGCAGGAGAGAACTGGAGAGCAGACACACACAACAGCAAAAACACCAGCAAGAGGTACAACCACATGATAATAACCCAGACTAACCCGCTGGCGTTAGTTCACCGTTTCTAACTTATTCAGCCCTAATCACATAGGATGGTTTAATGGGTTTAAAGATCCCGCGAAGTGCTTTGAAAAGTGTATTTTTTTTATCCACTATTTGGTCTAATCTGAAAATAAAGAGAGGGCGGGACATAGAGTAGCTCCTCTTCTTAAAAAAGCCAATAGTGTTTTGTTTTTGTCAACTCTGGCAGTAAGAGTGGTTGAGTTCAAGCGCATCAATCGAAAAGCAAATGTGAAGTGTCTTGAAGGGGGCGGGTCACATCAGACACTACAGAGGATTTGATGGGTCAGAAGATTTGAGAACTAAACTACTAATACAATGGTGGGGGAAACACTGGCTGTTTCTCAATTCCAAGAACGCAGAGAACGGACTTGTGTTCTTGTGGAGACCGGTCTTTCCAGGTGTCCTCGGAAGAACGAACTCAGGAGACCGCGAGGGCAGAGAACGCGTCCTTTGAGAATTTAGATGCTGCGTTCTTCCTGATGGTCACATGACCTTCACATGTTTTAAATGGTAAATTATTTAAACATTACAGCATTCATACAACGATTTATTGTTTTTCCCCTTTTCAAAATATATACTTTGCATAAAAACATTATAAATATATGTTGCACAACATAAATAAAACAGATTTTAATACGAATTTCAGCAAACAAACACCCTTAATGTGTTTATTCCTTTATTAAGATGTTCATGGTATTGTTTACTGTCACCGTTTCATTTAGGGAAACTCCTGAGGTAAATAAGTCATATCTATGAACTTTAATGATAAATCTAGATAAAATGCAGCGCTTCCCACCTTCAGTCGCAATGACTTCTGGGACTTCCAGAGCAAGTTCGGTGCTCAAGTCTGCATCGGTGCGTCCTCGATATCAAGAACACATCCGGGAAGTTTCACGCGTCCTCCGTACTTGCGGTCTTGAGTATTGGAACTGAACTTAGGCAGCTGATGATGACGTTTCACGAGAACACGAGGACGCAAGACCGCTGAAGAACGCATATTGAGAAACAGCCACTGACTTACACTCACCGGCCACCAAATTAGGTTCACCTGTCCAACTGCTTGTTAACTCAAACTTCTAATCAGCCAATCACATGGCAGCAACTCAATGCATTTAGGCATAGAGACATGGTCAGGATGATCTGCTGCAGTATAAACCGAGCATCAGAATGGGGATGAAAGGTGATTTAGGTGACTTTGAATGTGGCATGGTTGTTGGTGCCAGACGTGCTGCTCTGAGTATTTCAGAAACTGCTGATCTACATAGAATGGGCCGAAAAAGAGAAACAATCGAGTGAGCGGCAGTTCTGTGGGCGCAAATGCCTTGTTGACGCCAGAGGTCAGTGGAGAAGGGTCAGACTGGTTCAAGTTGATAGAAAGGCAACAGTAACTCAGATCGTTACAACCGAGGTATGCAGAAGAGCATCTCTGAAAGCACAACACGTCCAACCTTGAGGCGGATGGGCTACAGCAGCAGAAGACCTCACCGGGTGCCACTCCTGTCAGCTAAGAACAGGAAACTGAGGCTACAATTCACACAGACTCACCAAAATTGGACAAAAACGGTGCATGGTTTGATGAGTCTCGATATCTGTTGCGACACTGAAATAGTGTCAACATGAAAGCATGGATCCATTCTGCCTTGTATCAACGGTTCAGGCTGGTGGTGGTGTAATGGTGTGGGGGATATTTTCCTGGCACACTTTGGGCCCATTAGTACCAATTAAGCATCATGTCAACACCACAGCCTACCTGAGTATTGTTGCTGACCCTGTCCATCACTTTATGACCACAGTGTACTCCTCTTCTGATGGCTACTTCCACCAGGATAACGCCCCATGTCATAAACCGCGAATCATCTCAGACTGGTTTCTTGAACATGACAATGAGCTTACTGTAGTCAAATGGCCTCCATAGTCACCACCTTGTAGTCCTTACCTTGTGGTGACATGTTTTTGGTCCCCATGAGGAAAATAGCTCATAAATCACATTTGATGAAGTATTTTGAAAGTTCTGTCATCATTTACTCATCCTCCACTTGTTCCATACCTTTATTAGTTTCTTCCTTCTGAACACAAAGGAATATATGGTTTCCGCTACATTCATTCTTTCATGGCGGGGCGCCACACCAAAATTCATCCCGCCACGGCTACAGCTTCTTTTTAATATCAAAACATTCATTAATTGTTGTTTTTAATAGCGGATTATAATCGCACCAAAACGCATTAAAAGGTAAGTGAATAATAACAGCGTGAAATTTTCTGTCACTGCAGTAGTACTGTGCGCTATTTGTTTAACATTTTAAGGTGACGTGCTGACAGACTGGCTGACTTACTGAGAGGTGTGCGATGTGTGAGGCCAGCAAACACGACGTAGCTTTCAGTTAAGATGAACACAGTTTCCATAATTATACTTTATTTATAGATAAAGGTCTGTGATTCTGCATACAAAGACTTTAACGTTATCTTGCTGGTGTTTATAGCCGTTTCACTTTACTTCAGGACGCAATAATCCCGATCTGTAGGGCTATTGGAGACATTTATAAATATTCCTAGCAAATCTAATAAATGTTGGAGACATACTCACTACATAAACGCACTAAATCACACTTCAGCAGTGTTTATTTGAGAGCGCACGAGAAGATCTGCGCTTGAGCTGCGTGTTTGAGGGCGTGCAAGAAGTTTTGTGCATGAGCAGAGGAAATCGGCGCGCAAGCAGAGATTGGCATGCTGGTATTAACATTACATAAATGCAATCCCGACATGTAATACTGCGCTCAACACATTTCTCCATTTGTCATTGAAATAATGCCATAGTTAGTTGGTAGAGTTGTGTAAAAGACCTGCCACCACAGCTGGATAAAAATCCTAGAGGAAACACTGGAATATATACTTTTTCCTACTATAGATGTCATTGGCTGTTTTTTTCATCCAACAGTCTTCAGAATATCTTGTTTTGTAGAAGATAGAAAGTAAGTTTACAACCACTTGAGAGTAAGTAAATTATCAACTCTTCCTTTAATGCATGCCGCTGTATGTAAAGAAAGTGTGTATGTTAGAGTAAGCACCATGCTACTTGTATTGCTGCTCAGATGAGCTGTCTGCAGGCTGTGGTGTGCAGACTGAAGCTGGAGCTGGAGCAGCAGCAGGAGAGCTTGAAACAGGCGGATCAGAGAAGCAGAGAGCTGAGACTGGAGCTCAGCACAGCGCAGGCCTCTCAGAAAGACTACATGGAGCTGGTAAACTCTCCACTATAACATGTAACATATGAAGAACTGCAGACAACCATGAGCGGCTAACTGTGTGTTCCAGCTGGCGGAGTACAGCAGAGAGGTGTCTGTTCAGAGGAGTGAGCAGAGCCGTCTGATCCAGGTGACGGAGGACAGAGCGGCTCTGGAGGAGAGAGTCAGGCTGATGACTGCGGATTTGCACAGAGAGCGCACTCACAACAGGTCATCACAGGAGGAGGTCAGAGTCTGGGCTACATTCTTCTTACATTTGTAAGACACTAACTACTAACAACTAACATAGTATGTTTTACGCAGCGGTTGCCCTTCAAGCTGCAACCCATCACTGGGAAACACCCTCACACTCATTCACACACATACTCCATGGACAATACAGCTTACCCGATTCACCTATAGAGCATGTCTTTTGACTTGTGGGGGAAACCGGAGCACCCGGAGGAAACCCAAGCGAACACGGACATGCAACCTCCACACAGAAACAACAACTGACCCAGCTGAGGCTCGAACCAGCGACCTTCTTGCTGTGAGGTGATCGTGCTACCCATTGTGCCACCCTAAGTAGATCTCTTTTTATAAATAATATTTTCATTCTGTTGAACACAGAACAAGATATTCTGAAGACTGCTGAAAAAAGCTGTATATGCTGGATAAGTTGACGGTTCATTCGGCTGTGGTGACCCCGGATTATTAAAGGGACTAAGCTGAAAAGAAATAAATGAATGAGATTTACTTATGATCAGAGAGGGGCAAAGCTGGAGCACTCACTCTGGTCCCCTCGGCTCTGCAATGGTTGGGAAAATTCCAAACTGAACCAAAACAAACGATCACAATTGGCTAAGAAACTTCGGCATATGCATCAAGCAGCAGAACCAGGGAATTAAATTTTTTTAACTTAAATATAAAATACATTTATTATTATGTGAGCAGTCAGGATTTTCATTTTTGAGTGAACTGACCCTTTAAATCTGTTCGGCAAACAGAGCTCTCATATCTTTTTACAAGATTTCGTCTGGGTTTGTTTGATAAAACCTTTATACCTTTTTTTTTTTTTTTGGATAATCTAATGTTTTGTTTACTTGAATGTTCAGTGGAGGGACATAAAGCTCTCAGCTTTTAAAAAAAGTATGAATTTGTCTTCGGGAGATTATCCAAACTCCTATAAAGTTAACATTCTGTTTGAATTACCTCTTATAATGTCTCCTAAAATCATGTTTAGCTAATAATAATGCTGTTATTATCCGCAAACACAAACCCCAGATTGTTAGCATGTGGCAGGTTGTTGCAGAACTAACAATGATGTCCATGAGGAAAGGAATTCTCGGACTTTGTCAAACCCAAATCTCACAGTAGTATGTAGCACGTTGTTATCACATTAGCATGTAGCAGGTTGGTGTAGGACTAACAATGATTTCCATGAGGAAAATTCAAAGTCAAAACTCACAGTACTATATTGTTAGCATGTAGCATGTTCTTGTCACATTAGCATGTTGTTATAGAACTAACAATGATGTCCATGATGAAATGAGTTCTCAGACTTTGTCAAACCCAAACCTCTCTGTACAATGTTGTTAGAATATAGCATGTTTTTGTCACTTTAACATGTTGTTTGCAGAACTAGAAATGATGTCCATGAGGAAAGGAGTTCTCAGACTCTCAAACCCAAACCTCGGGGTCTTATGTTGTTAGCATGTAGTACGTTCTTGTCATATTAGCATTTTGTTGCAAAACTAACAATGGCGTCCATGAGGAAATGAGTTCTCAGACTTTGTCAAATGTACAATGTTGTTAGAATGTAGCATGTTTTTGTCACATTAGCATGTTGTTGCAGAACTAACAATGATGTCTATGAGGATGCTATTGCAGAACTAAGAATGATGAGGAAAGGAGATCTCAGACTGTCAATCCCAAACCTCACGGTACTATGTTGTTAGCATGTACCATGTTGTTGTCACATTAGCATGTAGCATGTTGTTGAAGAGGGCGTGGCAGTGGCGCAGTAGGTAGTGCTGTTGCCTCACAGCAAGAAGGTCGCTGGGTCGCTGGTTTGAACCTCGGCTCAGTTGGCGTTTCTGTGTGGAGTTTGCATGTTTTCCCTGCCTTCGCGTGGGTTTCCTCCGGGTGCTCCAGTTTCCCCCACAGTCCAAAGACATGCGGTACAGGTGAACTGGGTGGGCTAAATTGTCCGTAGTGTGTGTGTGTGAATGTGTGGATGTTTCCCAGAGATGGGTTGCGGCTGGAAGGGCATCCGCTGTGTAAAAACTTCCTGGATAAGTTGGTGGTTCATTCCGCTGTGGCGACCCTGGATTAATAAAGGGACTAAGCTGACAAAAAAATGAATGAAAGAATGAGGAAAGAAGCTCTGACCTTGCAGAACCCAAACCTTATGGTACTATGTTATTAGCATGTAGCATGTTGTTGTCACATTAGCATGTAGCACCGAGTTGCAGAACTTACAATGATGTCCATGAGGAAATGAGTTCTCAGAATTTGTCAAACCCAAACCTCACGCAACTAACATGTTGTTAGCATGTAGCACATTTTTTGCTGAACAACAATGTCCAAAAGAAAAGGAGCTCTTTAGATTTTGTCAAACACAAATCTCACGGCACTATGTTGTTAGCATGCAGCACGTTGTTGTCACATTAGCACGTAGCATGTTATTGCAGAACTAAAATGATGAGGAAGGAACTTCTCAGACTTGTTGTCACATTAGCATGTAGCATGTTGTTATGGAACTAACAATGATGTCCAGAAAGACAGGGATTCTCAGACTTTGTCAAACCCATACATGACACTTTGTCCAGAAGTGCCTGAGTGGAATGTGTGCAAAACAGCAGACAGAAGGGCCGGTGCTGTTTTTTTAAAGCACTCACTCTCATTCTTTAAGTGCTGTCAGTGTTGTGGAGTAACTCTAATTGCTTTTTGGATAACCATCTTCCTCATTTTATGGTCAGCAAACTCTACAGGATCACAATAAAACCGAAAACCAAAAAAATAAGAGTCCCCACTGTCCAGACCGTAATATATACATACACACATATAAACATACACACACTCCACCATTGCTCTGACTGCAGGAGTAATGATTATGCGTGTGTGTTGTGCATCGGTTGTCTGTTTTCAGCACTGGCTTTTAAAAATAATTGCTGTTGGTGCTGCAGTCGTATCAGAGGAAGGCCAGTAATGATTCTCGCCAGTCGTGTGGAACGCGCCATGCGGGGAAGCGGGGGGAGACAGACGCCACAATAAAGGCGGCTATCATTTCTGTGTGTGCGTCCGTGAGTGTGTGTGTTTGTCTGCCCGGCACATAATTATGGTTGCATAAGGTTGTGTATTCATATCTGTGTGTGTGAGAGTGTGTGTTGGTGGAGTTGCTATGATTACAGTGAGCGTGTGTGTGTGTGTGTGTGTTTGCAAACATACTCAGGCTGCCCGTCTATAAATCAGGTGTGAATTGAAGAAACTGATGAGTCGAGAATCTCATTTGAGTGTGTGTGTGGGATCACAGAGGGATTAGAGCTGGATATAAAGCTGCACAGGTGTCTGAGACTACCTCATAACCCGCTTACATACACACACACACACACACACACACACACACAGACACACACACACACACACACACACACACACACACACACACAGCATTTTAATTGTCTTTTCTTCACTGCCTTTTATTGTCTCTCCTCTGCAGCATGTGTGTGCTGTGGGTAAAGGTCACCGCGCTCCACCATCTTGCACACTGACAGCGTTACTAGCCATGAAACTAGTCTGCCTTTTAATTTAAGCTGAATTCTCATGTGCTGGAAACCTGAGCTTTCATATTAGTTGAAATTGTGCGAGCTGCTTTAGATTTGCCAAAATCATAAGAGTGTAATACTGATTTGTTCATGGATAGAGATACACAGGTAAAGATTAAATCTGTGCTACCAACGACCTTCACTGGAATTTTATCAACATTTATAATATAGAAGTTTGAGGTATATAATATCATATGTTATATATATACAGTAGGTTGACAGGGTGGCTCAGTGTCGCCTCACAGCAGTTGGGCCAGTTGGCAGTTCTTTGTGAAGTTCGCATGTTCTCCCTATGCTGGTGTGGGTTTCCTCCGGGTGCTCCGGTTTCCCCCACAGTATAAAAGACATGCGCTATAGGTGAATTGGGTAAACAAAATTGGCCGTATTTCAATGTGGCCAGATCTCAATACAGAAGAGTATCTTTGGGATGAGGGCTGCACGGTGGCGCAGTGGGTAGCATGTTCGCCTCACAGCAAGAAGGTTGCTGGTTTGAGCCTCGGCTGGGTCAGTTTGCGTTTCTGTGTGGAGTTTGCATGCTCTCCCCGTGTTGTCGTGGGTTTCCTCCAGGTGCTCTGGTTTCCCCCACAGTCCAAAGACATGCGGTACAGGTAAATTGGGTAGGCTAAATTGTCCATAGTAAATGAGTGTGTATGGATGTTTCGCAGTGATGGGTTGCAGCTGGAAGGGCATCAGCTGCGTAAAACATATGCTGCATAAGTCGGCGGTTCATTCCACTGTGGCAATCCTGATTAACCCTTTGCCGTTAAAATGGTTGGAATAGTTTTAACCACAAGAATCTCAGCTTTCAAAAGATATATGCCATGTTTAGTATTTTGTGGGAAGCCGTTATATTTAGCAATGTTTCCCCAAAGTTTTGCTTTAGAAAACGCTATGTACCGCTGGCGGTACATCAGAACGGCAACAGGTTAATAAAGGGACTAAGTCTGAAAAAATGAAATGAATGGATGAATTTTTGGGATGTGATTAAATGGGACAAATCAATGGGACATCAAGTGCAAAATTCTGTTATGTCAATGTAGATCGAAATAAGGAATATTCACTACACGTTGTTGAAGCTATGTCATGAAAATATTTGGCCGGTATCTTTTTAAAGATATTTCAAAGTATTAAGACTGCACGATATTGAAAAAATCTGACATTTTGATAATTATACTATACTGTGATATATATTTATGCAATAGTTTAAAGGTCTGTCTTAAACGCTTCATATAAACATGAATGATAGTGTTTTCTTTCATTTCTTTTGGGAGAAAATTCCAAATTTTAGGAGCAATGTGACCAAAAGAGGTTTCGCCAGATCATTAGATTTACAATGCCAAATTCTAAAAGTCCAGCACAGGCCTGGATAAGGAATTTAGAGGCCCCTGGGCACAATGTCCTGTAGGCCCCTACCTGACTGCTATAGGTGAATGGACAAATAAGATGAATATAATATTTTTTAAATAAAATTAATCTATTTAATAAAATTTTATAAAATTAAACGTATTGCCCACATTTTTAAAATAAATGATATACAGTACATATATTTCTAGTCTACAAAGATTTAACTTATTTTTAAAGCATTTAAAGCAAACTTAAAAAAAAAAAAATACCAATACAGCTAGTAAAAATTTATGGATTTTAATATACGAGTTTAAGTTCACTGAAGCAGCACTAAAAACGGATATTTAAGGGTATTGTTTAATGTATAACTTTTACAAACTTATAATGCATATGATTTGGATATAACACCTCTTCAATCCAGTTCTTCTATAATACACACACTTATTCATGATTCCTACTTGTCTTCCTCGTGAGGAAGAGTAATCAAAATCTGATATGTAGTGGGGGAAAGAAGAAGAACGTGTTAATCAGACGCTGGATTCGAACCGGTTTCATGATTGATCGCGTAAAAAATGTTGCCATGCGCTTTACGAGCTACACCACTCATGCTGCTGTCTATTGTGCTCTTTGGTTATGTTGTCTCTGTCAATCAAACGGTGATGGGCATGAATCACTTAACTAGTTTATTCCAACAAGGTGTGCTATTTGCACTTAGCCTAAATAGACACTCCAAAATCTGCATTTTCCCCCCCTCTACCTCGCAGGGGCTCCAAGTGCGCACGGGCCCCTGGGCCTGTGTCCATAATGCCCGCTGGTTAATCCGGCCCTGGTCCAGCACTAGAGGAGCATAACAATCGGCTTGGAGTTCATTTGACAAACAGTCAGAAATTTTGTTTGGTGTCAGGTTACAAAGTGCCTTATTGACTTTATTCTTCAATGCGGAAGTGTGCTCGTTTTTGCGGTTGTTTTAAAACTTCGACTAGAACTTACAACTTATGACTAGAATTAATAAACAGCAGAAATTGGTCAAACTACTCACTCTACAAGTGTGTTCATGACTGTACAGACAAAGCAGAATAGTTTAGACCAGTGGTTCTCAAACTGTGGTGCGTGTATCACTGGTGGTACACGGGCTTTCTTCTAGTGGTACGCGGAGGAATCAAATATGTCATATGTACATGCAAGATATGTTTCAAAATTTATCACAAATGATTTATATATGAATATGATGACAGATAGCCTATATTTATGAGGCCCAAGCTACATTTCCGGGTTGATGAATAGGCTACTATATGTTAATACTTTACATATAAGTCAGGAGTTTTTTTAAAGAACAGTAGCCAACCAATTTTATTTAAATTTTAAAAGCACATATAATTAAAACGTTGACTTTTTATTTTGGCTGTTTTTTTTTTTTGTTAGTTTTTTTTATCTGTAAACACAATACAGTGTTAATGTTCAAACTATTTCCAATGTTTAAAGTGGCTGACAATAATAAATTTTCTTAATAATAGGAATTAATCGGCCTGGTTTTTGAACTGTGTAGAGCTGTAGGTGCTTAATTAGGCCTTCTACTCTACTGTATTTTAAGACTGGTCATTATAGTGGTACATGGAGAGACAATTTTTTTCTGAGGTGGTACTTGATGAAAAAAGTGTAAGAACTGCTGGTATAGACCATTTCAATGTGATAATGTGCAGTCATTGGCCCATGAACATTAACTTGATAATCTTATAACTTTAACAAGAGGCAATTCAATCATAACTTAATGTCAAATATTACTATTATTAAATATTACTAATAATGTCAAATATTACTATATATCATACTGTAACACTATAATTTTTTGCCTCTTTTAGAATTCCCTGAAGCGATAAAAATTTAAAATGTAAAACAAGAAAACATGGTAGGACCATTGTTTTTGTTTACATCTCTCAAAATGTTTATAATAAAAAAAATATCAGTTTGCAACATCAAGCAGCACAACGAGCTGTTTTTAATTTCTACAAATGAATGGAAGTGAATGAGACCGGAAGTCTCCAGCCAAAAGTATTCTAATTGCTGCACCCTCTCATATGCGAAGAATAAGGTCAGTAAACTGATATAAAAATCTTAAAATCTACTCTTTGGTGCACTCATTCTATTAACGCTGGTGTAATGTGTACACTTTAATGGCTTTCATATTCAGTATCTCCATCTGTCCTCCAGGCTCGGGCGTGTGAGGGCCGTTTAGCAGAGCTGCACACCCAGCTCTCACACTCAGAGCAGTGGGCACAGCAGCAGACCAGAGCCCTGCAGGACAGAGAGGAGGAACTGCTCATGCTGAAGATGGAAATGGTGTCTCTTAGGGAGAACTACACTGCTACACTTTCTCAGGTCAACCACAACATCATTCACAGCGGATACAATAAGTATTTAATACTACATCACCATTTTTTTTTTAGAAAACATATTACAAAGGTGGGGTTGACTTTAAATTTGAATCAGATGTCAAGTCACAACCAAAGTAATTCAAACATAAATAGAAAACTATTTAGTTTAGATATTAAGTTGTGTCTACACAAGGAAAACGTATCAACGAATTACCTTGTCTGAAACATTCAGGATGCGCACGCAGCGAGGTGGCAGAAATAAAGCGGGAGCACTAGCATTTACAGTGAGGGAATGACATCCGATGCAGTACATTTTCGAGTTTGTTGTTGTCTTAGAAATAAGTTATATTGCTTACATAATATACATATTATTTACATAATGCTCAGTGATTCAGCAAAATTAACGTTAAAGTGAGCAGCGTTTATCTGACAGGTCCATTTGTGATAGCACCCTCCCATTGGATATTGGATATAACGAAATAGCCAAGTATCCAGCCCGAAATATACAACTCATTGAAGCTCCAAGTGTTTACCAAAACTTTGGATGCCAACTGTTTTGTTCTGTGCGGTCACATGCAAGAAATAATGCTCCGTGATTACCAGATTCAAAACTTTGTAGTGCTAAAAACCGAGGTTCTGCTAAGCCAAAGTCAAGGAAAAAAGACTAATGTTAAATAAGGCCTGGGTAATCATCAACAAGCAAAACTACTGCATTCTGACAGCGAACTACACCTGTACTGCAGGGTATGTCAACTTACACAATGACCTAAAGTTGGTTTTATATTCGCACATTTGGACTTTCTCCTTAACAATATAATTTCATAAAAGTATTATTAGCAAACTCTAAATAGCGAAATCATATTAGCAGCCAATGACTATCAAAGTACAACATTGTTTACAGTCAAACAAACAGTGTTAATGTTGTTTTCAAGTCACACTTGCAGGTTATTTCAGACCGAATATTCAAAGTGCCGTGGTAAACAATATAGGGATTGTGTCACAAGTTGTCACTGAATGAATGTGTGAATATTAAACCAACTTTACCTTAATAATTTACACTTGCACGTTTCATTCTTAGCATTCAGTGTGTGCAGTTTAATGAACCATATGTAACTGTTTTACTGAAATCATTGCTGCAATCAAAAACGAGTGATGTGTATGATTCAGCATAGCGTGAACTTACCTGATATAACATGAGAACTGAAGAGTCCGGCATTTTTAATTACATCACTTCATTCAGCTCCCTTTTAGCCAAAGACGTCTGCAGTTGGCATTAAAGCAGTGTGGTGTACGGTAAAAGTTAAGTTTTCTACTTTTGGACTTTTGAATTTCGCATCGTACTGCACAACATGACATGTTTACTATTGCCAGCGGTCTCTTTTTGCAACCGGGAACTCGTGTGACGCCATGTGTTGTATGTTGGTAATTCCTCTATTGAACACATGAAGAAAGGGAGGTATTATAAAGCATAGAAAGCCCAGACAGCAGCTGAAATTTCTCAGAAGTTAGAAAGCAATTCAGTGCAAATTAGCTATTTCAGTTTAACACTTACATTACCAAACAATGAAGATGAAACCAGGGTGGACATTTCAGTAAGACAATGATCACAAGCACAGCCAAGGAAACTCTCAATTGGTTTCAGAAAAGAAAACAAAGCTGCTATAATGGCTCAGCCAATCACTTGACTTGATCCATTAGAAAATAAGAACTAAAGATAAGAGTTGACAGACTAGACCCACAGAACTATCAAGATTTTTAATACATTTTTTAATTATTTTTTTAATAAATTAATAATAAATTCACACATGAGCAATGCATGAGGCTTTATTTTTCATACAAGCGGCCTCTTAAAGCTGTCAGTACCAAAAGAAAGCCTTTTATACAAAGTATTAAATAGGTTTTAATACCTTCTCCTTGTGTCCATCCATTGCTATTACACATAATTCTGAAAAAAAAAAGTTTTGGATTGTTTGGGTTTCTACCAAAATCTGGTTAAATTTTATCTCAGCAGCACCTTTCGAAAAGTATTCAATAGTAAAATCACGCTGTGTTTAATACTTATTTGACCCGCTGTGTATAACGCTGTGCTTGGGGTTTTTGTGTAAACTGCTCTCTTGTGTAGGTTGAGGTCTTGAACTCACAGATGGACAGTGTGAATCAGAAGTACAGCTCGGCGGTGTGTGAGGCGGATGTTTTGCGGCAGTGTTTAGGAGATGCGCGGACTGACAGCTCTCGACTTCACAGGGAAAGTGAACTAGTCGTGACCAATGTCAACCAATGGGTGAAGGAGCAAAAGTAAGTTCTTTTGCAATCAGCAAAATTAATATGTTGTTTGTTGGATGTAATCATTCAGTAATATATTATTACCATCTGACCATTAGCTTGCCAGATTAACATAAATCTTTGATCATTAGCAGTGTGAGTTTTAGCAAGGATGCAAAAAGAGTAGTAACTGTCTGCAGCATGACCATCGTAAAGGGGGTCGCACACCAGATGCACCGCACCACGGTGCGCCATGCCACAACACGACGAGTAAACATAGTGCATGTACAGTTAAACCAGAAGTTTACATACACTCTAAAAAAGGAACATAACCAGTTTTTAAAAATGCCTGAGAGTAAATTATACTAAACGTTTACTATTTTAGGTTCGTTAGGATTACCTCAATGATTTACATTTGCTAAACGCCAGTATAATGAGAGAAATTTTCTTTTGAGATTTTTTTATTAATTTCTAGAGAGTCAAAAGTTTACATACCTATCCTTGGTAATTTTTTAGCTTTGCTTTTAAACTGTATAACTTTGGTCAAATGTTTTGGGTATCCTTCCACAAGCTTCTCACAATAGCTTGCTGGAGTTTTGGCCCATTCCTCCTGACAGAATTGGTGTAACTGAGTCAGATTTGTTGGCTGTCTTGCTCACACAAGCTTTTACAACTCTGCCCACAAATTTTCTATAGAATTGAGATCAGGGCTTTGTGATGGCCACTCCAAATCATTCACTCTGTTGTCCTTAAAGCACATTTAAACTAAGTTGGCAGTATGCTTAGGGTCATGGTCTGTTTGGAAGACCCATTTGTGGCCAAGTTTTAATTTCCTGGCTGATGTCTGATGAGATGTTGCTTCAGTATTTCTACATAATGTTCTTTCTTCATGATGCCATCTATGCTGTGAAGTGGACCAGTCGCTCCTGCAGCAAAACAGCCCCACAACATGATGCTGCCGCCCCCATACTTCACAGTTGGGATGGTGTTTCTTGGCTTGTAAGCTTTCCCCTTTGTCCTCCAAATGTAACACTGGTCATTATGGCCAAACAGTTCAATCTTAGTTCCATCAGACCACAGGACATGTGTCCGAAAATGTGTCTTTTTCCCAGTGTAATTTAGCAAATTGTAATCTGGCTTTTTTTGTTGATTCTGGCTTGTTGATTTTCCCATGTTGTCACACAAGGAAGCTCAAGTGTGTTTGAGGTTTTCCTTTAATACTATTCTACAGTTGTGCCTCAAATTATCTCAAATGTTGTCAATTAGCCAATCAGAATTTTCCAAAACCTTGACACCATCATCTGAGCTTCCCCAGAGGCATAATAATCTTATTGTATGTAAACTTGACTTTCAAGAAAAGTTTTAACAATTTCTCACAAAATATCTCTCTCATTATTCTGCTAAAAGGCATAACATAAACAAATGTGATAATCCTAACCTACCTAAACGAGAAAGGTTTAGTCACATTAACATCTAACTTTTTTTAAATGGATATGTGCCTTTTTATACAGTGTATGTAAACTTCTGATTTCAACTGTACATAGTACATGTGATTTTTCAGGTTTTTATTTTTATGTTTAAATTGTTTATTGTGGAAAAAACAAACATTACATCAGTACAGATAGTTACATATCATTCTTTTTCTTTTTTTTTACAAAAGAGACAAAAAAAATAACAAAAAAATATATATATAATAAAAAAGAGAAATATTAATAATAATAATGATAATAATAAAAGAGGAAAAGAAAAATAGAAACATGAGTATTAAGTGTACTGAACATTACAACCAAATATCACAATCAAATGTTCAGATACATTGTCAATGTTGAAAGTAAATATTTACAATTAAACGATATAAAATGGTATTAGATAAAACAAAAAAGTTTAATTAATACGAAATAAATTAAAAAGGAGGGAACTCAGGAGAGTGCATCTATTAAATGGAAGGCAATACCTTAAGAGAGTTAAAGTAAATTATAAAACATTGCCACTTTTTGAAGAAATCAGGTTTTTATTTTTAATAAATTTGCAACAATTTCAAAAACTCTTTTCACATTGTCATTATGAGTTATTGTGTGTATAATTTTGAGGAAATAAATGAATTTAATACATTTTGGAATAAGGCTGTAACATAAAAATGTGGAGAAAGTGAAGCGCTATGAATACTTTCCGGATGCTCTGTAGCTGTGCTAGTTTAACATGTCGCATATCAATCTTCTCTCACATAACGAAACACTATTTAATTGAAGATTTATGTTTTTATATGTAATCTAATTATTTTGTAATTACCATTATGTGCAGTCAGTCAATCATGATCGCTAACTAAACCTCTTCACATGTACCTGATCACCCTTTGGTGTTTATTTTGCAACAAAAAAAAAGTAAATGTGACTTTTTAATACATTAGGTGTCACAGATACTATCGCACAACAGAAGGAGCCAGTATATGCATTTACAAAAGTATAGAAAGTGTCTGTGGCGCTTCAGAAGTTTAGCATCCTGAGAAAGGCAGTGTTATAATGGCTGTATCATTATCATTCAGCATCATGGCTCATTGTGACAGCAGCTCGCAGCTTCCTCACTGCAGCCCATTATCTCTGCCCCTGCTCCACTCCAGGCACACTAATGAGAAACTGGCACTCAAGATCAAAGAGCAGAGCAGGAAGATCATCCACCTGACAGCCGAGAGAGAGTAAGCCCCGCTCGCCCCTTCCAAAGCTGTTTCCGCTTGGAGTGTGTACAAACATGGATTTCTAGGTCCAAGTAGCAGAGAACGGTTGCATGCAAAGATATGGAGAGAAGGGTGTGAAATGGGATTAGGCTGTAATGTTTGTCCTGTCTTCATGCAGTCACCTTCAGGAGAACGTGAAGGGTTTACAGGGGGAAATCAGGAGGCTGAAAACAAGAGAGAATGGAGGCACAGCGTATCAAGGTACAGCAACACACACTTCCGGAGTAAAGCCCTGAACACACTCGCATGTCCCTAACACAAACATATACAGTTGAAGTCAGAATTATTAGCCCTCCTGGGTTTTCTTTACCCCAATTTCTGTTTAACGGAAAGATTTATTCAACACATTTCTAAACATAATATTTTTAATAACTCATTACTAATGGATTTCTAACTGATTTATTTTGTCTTTAATAATATTTTAATAAAAATAATAATATAATAATAATATTTTATATATTATAACATATTATAAAATATAAAATATTTATTATTATAATATAATAATAATATTTTATATTATTTTACATAATATTTTACTAGATTTTTTTCAGGATACTAGTATTCAGCTAATATAATTAGCTTAGCTTAAAAGAGCTAATAATTTTGACCTTAAAATAGCTTTTAAAAAATAAAAAAATACTTTTATTTTAGCAGAAATAAAACAAATCAGACTTTCTCCAGAAGAAAAAATATTATCAGACACACTGCGAAAAATTCCTTGCTCTGTTAAACATAATTTGGGAAATATCTGAAAAAAAAAAAAAAAGTTCACAGGAGGGCGAATAATTTAGACTTTAACTGTATACGTCCATTGAGACTTTTATGAGTATCCAGATTTTAGGTTGTTTTTGACATGAAACAGAAGGTGTGATTTAGTCTACAACCATATTGTGAGGAAATTTTAGTATTGAGCATTAAAAAATCCAGGGAGGCATTAAAGCAGTTTTGAAGGATCTGAATAAAGGCCCTTCCACACTGGGTCATTTTTTACTCGGTGTTTTCGGTCAACGTTTAGCACCTTGTGACTAAATAAAGTACTCCAATGTGATCATGCACACCAACACACAAAACAGCAGGCACAAAAGCGTCATTTAAAGAAACGAGTGATTTTCACTGGCATCGAGCAGAAGAGTATGCAAAATCACTCCTTGACGATAGATGGCTCTACACAACTTTAGCTTCTGACACCCGCTTGAATCACAGAAAAAGGAGACCAAGTTGACACGCTTGGTGCTATGGATGGTTCAAGTAGCAGCTTTAGCGATGAAGAAATGATTATTGTTCACCAGAGCAATAAGCAGCTCCACGTTCATATCGCCTCTGGGCATCTTCTTGCGCTCGCATTGACAGTTTTGCGCTTGAGCGCCTCCGAGTGCTGTTTACTGTAACTTCAGCAGCTCCGTGCACGTGAACAAAAGTGCCAACCTGATTGGTGGAGAAGGTTTTGACGCGGTGGAATGAACCACCAATTCCAGCATACGTTTTACGCAGCAGATGTCCTTCCAGCCACAACCCAGCACTGGGAAACACCCATCAACTCTCACATTCACACACACACACACACACACACACTCCTACACTACGACAAATTTAGTGAATCCAATTCACCTGTAAAACATGTCTTTGGACTGTGGTTGAAACCGGACCACCTGAAGGAAACCCACGCCAACATGGGGAGAACAGGCAAACTCCACACAAAAACATCAACTGGCTTAGCCAGGACTCGACTCAAACCAGCGACCTTCTTGCTGTGAGGTGACAGTGCTAACCCCTAAGCCATCATATGGAACATCATATGACCCATTTAATTATATTTTTCAAGTATATCTTTTGTGACTTTCTGTTACTATCCTTTTCAAGAGTTCACACTTAGCTGATGATTTATAAAAGCTTGTTTGGCATGCTGTCCCGGGAGAGAGCCCCGAGCTCAAGGACTCCTCGAGTCCGGGGCTTCCTCCTGTTTGGCAGAGCGAGAGGGGAGCCTGAGCTCGGTGGATCTCAGAACTCCCCCGCTGCTGTAGCTAAGGGAACACAAGGGTTAGATAAATGCTTGGTTTTTATGTATATTGAATGTCTTTGGATGGTGGGAGGAAACCGGAGCACCCGGGGAAAACCCACGCGGACATGGGGAGAACATACAAACTCCTCACAGAAACCACAGAAACGCCACCGGTCCTGGGGGGCCAGGGCTGGCGGTGTTCTTGCTGTGGGGCTCGCAGTGCTAACCACTGGGCCGCCGTGTCGCCCAGTCAGAGGTAAAAGAGGAGGAAAAGGGGAGGAGGGGGGTTTCTTCCAAACGAAGATCAAGTGAATTGAAAACTGTGGTTATTTATAGTAGCTTGGGTCTCGAATGATTGGAAGATACTGATTAGCAAATTCGAGTCCAGCTGTGATAAATCATAAACACGTCATCCTCTCGAAATTAGTTTATGAATAAACTTCACTTAATCAGTTTTTTTGCATTAACTATTAAGTAGATGTGTTTTGTTTAACATTTCATACTGCAGAAAATTATTTCTTATGATAGCTGTAGCACTTGTATAGTATCTCCATGTAGCATTTGAATATCTCTCCATTTTCTTTGATATAACAGAATATCATGGTAACCACCGCTCACAGTTGCAGCCTTTATTGAATGCATATTAGCATTGACCTTCATGGTAAACAGGCTGTAGCCCATTCTGTCCTCTATAATCTTGCATGGAAACCGAGCTTATTTGCAGGTTTTTCCTCGAATCACCTGTCCAGTTTGATCTTTCATCTTCTCCTCTTATAATTCCTGGATGACCCGGTGCTGGCCGTTTCCTATCACAGCTCTCCCTTTCATTATTTTGTTCCTCGCTCTTTCTCCATTCTCTGTTAACCCATACTCATGCATAGCATCCGCGAGAGCGTCTCTGTTGTGATTAGGTCGGTATTTCTATCAGATGCAGAGAAAAGGTGTCCTATAACCACAGTTGAAGGTCCATGTCACCATTAGCCATCTCATTCTGGAGTGCCTGTCCTCTCGCGGCGGAATGATCCGGGCTCTGTAGGTACAGGCTTATGCTCTGTAATAGGGTCTGATCTGATTCACACTTGTGAAATTGGAAAGGAAAAAAGTTTGAGACATGATTGGAGAACTTTTGGCTGGTCTGAAGCCAATCATCGAGGCCATGTTGACCGTGCGCTGATGAGCCCAGCCTGCAGGGTTCAATCCATTCTCCTGCCTGTTTGTTCTGAAGGTCCAGAACCTGCTCCACATGCCACGCCATTGCATTATTGATGATGGAGAAAGAGCAGGAGAGTCAAAGACCTGCTTAGGGCCTCGCTTCACAGAGCCAGATCACTTCAGGAGATTTATTCAAAGAAAAGTCGAAGAGGCGCTGAATAATCTTCCATTGTTACAACAGAAAGAGTCCTGACTAGTAATACATAGATGCTTGCCATTTTAAAGTAACTGTTCACTTGAAAATTCATTAGTTTTCCTTCAGGCTTAGTCTCTTATTTATCAGGGGTTGGCACAGTGGAACGAACCTCCAACTATTCCGGCATATGTTTCACGCAGCAGATGCCCTTCCAGCTGCAACCCAGTACTGGGAAACACCCGTACTCTCACAGTCATACACTACGGACAATTTACTGTAGGGGAAACCTGAGCACCCGAAGGAAACCCACGCCAACATGGGGAGAACATGCAAACTCCACATAGAAATGCCAACTACTTTTAATTTCGAGATGAAAGACCGTTGTAACCACTAGCGCCGTCAGTAGCAGCAGGCTAGTGCAGACATACCATTAAAAAATACAGAGGAAAAAAAAACTGTCATAGATTAAAGATATGGTGGAGGGAAATGGTATTTAATGCAGTGCTTCTTGTCTGAGACCCACCTCATATCCTATATCTAACAGCAGTGAAGATGGCTGATTTTTAAAATCAGATCTTAAACGTGACAATTTTGTTATGGAAATAGAGTTCACCAGAAGCCCTTGGGCTGCCTGGCTAAAAATTAAAAGTCTGTGTGCATATAGCCCATAGCATATGGCGACAATAGTGTGAAATGCTACCAACACACATTTTATAGTTCGTTAAGTACACTGGAGACCTTTGCTGGACATTTTTACTAAATGAAAACCAGTAGCCAATATTTGAAGTGTCATTTCAAATCTAATGTAACGAGAAAAAACAAACAAAAAGCGCTCTGGGGTAACTCAAATGTTTGGTCGGTGCTCTTTGGGTAAGGGATTCATCAAAACAACAACAAGAATCAGTCCAAGGCACTCGAAAAATGTGAAAAATTTAAAAGCCTTTATTCACATGGCTAAATCTCTAAAAACCTACAGCTGCGTCCCAAATGGCACACTATACACTATGCACTCATGCACTATGTACTTATGCACTTACACACTCAACAGGATAGTATATGTATGTAGTGCTGTCCCAAATGGCACACTAATGTTTTTTTACTAAGCGGAAATTCAAACCGTTTCCCTGATGACGTTTGACTGTTGCAAATCAGTGAAATAAACGACTGAATTATCAAGTAATACCTGCCGTGAGGATTGCCGCATTTACCATCCGGAGGCGCTATAATCACTCTCGTAGGAGAATTTTGCTTTCACTATCCAAAATAAATAAAGTTATTCAACACGTGCGTCCGATCGCTCCGCCCCTTCCGCTACGTAAGCAAACCTGCGGTCGTTTAGTGCGTGAAGTGTCCATCATTACACACTTCATTTTAGCGGCTGAATGAGTGCATCATCCAGGTAATTAAAGTGCACTTATTATTTTGAGAGTTTTCAATGTGAACACACTACTTACACTATTTATACTACAAAATGGCGTAAAATAGTGCATAAGTATGCGATTTGGGACGCAGCTTACGTGTTTCGGCAAGAGTCTGCCTTCATCAGGGTAACAGTGATCAGGTGCGGCAAGAGTCTCTTTTGAGTACTACGGTCACATGATTTAAACATCTCAAATGGCACTCAAATAATTTAACAAACAAAGTCTACTATCATCATAAATTCAGCATAGACCTAGATCGTAGGTTTTTAGAGATTTAGCCATGTGAATAAAGGCTTTTTAAATTTTTCAAATTTTTCGAGTGTCTTGGACTAATTCTTGTTGTTCTAATGTAACGAGTGTTGGGCAGTAGCTTTGCTACAAGTAGTGACGCTACTAGCTTAACTACATTTCTCTGTAGCATGGCGGTAGC